ACTGCGAACATGGCGACCTCCCGAACAAGAGGGTGAAAGGATAGCCGTTTTGCCTCTGTTGACTTCATATATGCATTTAATTACTCTACTCCAAGTGGAGGTTTGGGTATTAGCTTATTTTTGACGTGTTTTAGGCTATTTTTTTCGGGCTTTCTTTTTTTTTGCACTGGTATCTTCTTTATTTACACTGACCGAACAAAAAGATGTGCACTAGTAAAAGAAAGCCCGACAAAAAAGCCTGAAAACACGCCAAAAATAAGCTAAAACCCAAACCTCTGCTTGGAGAGTACCATTAAAGAGGCATTATGTAACATTTGTTCACAAAAAAATGAAAAGTCTTCATGTGATAACATATTTGTGTAATTATCTCACATATTCTTACAGGTAGCGTACTCATTTTCGGGTACCACCACAAACTACCAGAATGTAAACAAACATGGATGACAGCTGACACTAGTAAAATTTTGGCACCACCACTTTCTGAATGATATTTGCAATGGAGCAGTTTTGTTTTATCAAGAAATCACCAGAAAATTGACTTTTTGTATCATCCTAATGTTAAAGACCACAGTACGTACTAAATTTTATGGATGGCATCCGCAGCAAACTCCAATTTAGGGAAAAACAAACAAAGGCGAGCAAAAAAACAAGATTCTTTTATTTTTAAATTTTGAGATAATAAGCCTTATTAACATTGAACAAGAATTGAGGTGAAAAAACAGCATATCACTGAAATTCTAGCAAAACGGCTAGCCGTTCCATCATGGGCAGCTACTATAGACAGATAGGCCGGCATTCAACATATTTGCCCATTTTCGGCTTGTTGAGCACTTTCGGGCAAAACAATTTCTTGATTTTCCCCCCAAATCAGGCGAAAATTGATGCGTATTTGATGTCATCCATAAAAATTACTTGTTTTGGCCTAATCGCGGCAACTTTATATTTCCAAGATGGCGGCCCTGAAAAGTAAGTTACGAAAGAAGAGTTGTGAGTTTCCATACGCTTTCTGTCTGCATAGACAACGTAGGTCTGATAGCTGCATTTCGTATATTAATATTGTGATGACTTCTCTAACTCTCTCGATAATTTTGAAGTGAGGAGTGCGAGAAAGACGCGTTCAGAGTACGGCCGCAAAATTTATAACGGTGCGGATTTCACCCCCCTCCCATCCCACCATTGATTTTATCCTATCTTTATCTTTAGAAAGACACTAGAAAACTAGATGAATCTTCCGTTTCCATGTTCCAAATGTTTCATAACTTCTTAGCTCAAAACGTGTTGCGAGGACTAAACAGATCATGATAGAACTTTGCAAGTACGTACTAAGTACTAGTAAGTGGACAGGTCTCTTGAAATTTCAATTTGTCAACAAGAGAAGTTGGGTCTGCCTATTTACCGGAAAACACCGGAAAGCACCGGATTAACACATATAGGAGGCATAAATCTACCGGAATACACCCTGCATTGATGAGGTAATACCCCAAGTCGCTGTATTTTGGCATAAGAAAACTCATATGTAGACCAGGGAACAAGAAACTACTTAGTCTTAATGAATCGGCGGAGGCAAACCTGCCATACGCTACGTAAACAAACATGACCGCGTTAATTTTGTAGAGACTTCTTGTTCCCTGGCATGGGCCACGTTATGTTATGGACAAAATACAACAAATTGCAATGTTAAAGTATAAAATAAATTTTAATCTAAGTACATTTCACTGCTCTTCTGTCATCGCGCTAAACAAACATATTGCGTTACGATATGTATACAAACATGGCGACTGGGGGTTTCCGGAAAAGGCTGTGCTGTGCATGTGCATGTGCTGTGCCCCTCTTCAGGGCCCCAAGCCATCACATGTTAAAGCTGCATTATGAAACTTTTTACGCAAAAATGTTAAAATATTCTAATTATGCTAAATTTCGGTGTTATCAACAGTTACTATCACTTTTTAACACATTTGTGTCATTATTTCACATTTCTGACGTATATTTTGTGCGTTCAAACAGTTCTTGTTCAGTTCCCGGTGCCACCGGTTTGCTCAGGACAACAACAACAACAACAACAGGCAGTGGTTGGCCCCCCTAGTGTGGCTAATTGGTCGGGCATGACAGGATAGATAGACAGGAGCACATGTCACAAGATTGACTTCTTAATTGGAAACACTCATATCTTTGACATGAAGCGGAATATGATTATCAACTTAGTGTATCTTATTGGGTATCAATAAACTGTGCCATTATCCCTTCAAAAGAGATAAAAAATCTGGTAAATGATGAGGTCTTTCAGAAATTTGTACAAAGCTGTCAACTGACGCCCCACTGGGAGGTACATGTACCATATGTGGACAATACCATATGTTAGTCTCCACCAGACTCCTTTGCAGGCTGAATAAATAGTAGAAATTGGCTAAGGGGAACAACATTGGCCAGAGGAGTTGGCCGGCCATAGAGGGTCCAGCTTACCTGCAGGAGACTAACCATACATGTCTGTGCGGTGTGGCCAGAGGTTTGAATAGAAGATCATTCAGAGTTTTGTAAGCTCATAAGGAGCAAGGATGTTGTATTTTTGTTGCTGCGTATTATTCTGGAACACTAAAGGGTTAAGTCAACGTCCTATGTAAAGAAAAGAATGGAAAATATACTTTTTGTATTGTCAAAAAGTCACATAATGCCCCTTTAACATGTGATGGCTTGGGGCCCTGAAGAGGGGCACAGCACATGCACATGCACAGCACAGCCTTTTCCGGAAACCCGGCGACTGGCCGGGTTGCCGATTGCCGATTCATTATTCAGTGATTCCTTGTTCCCTGGGCTACATATAAGTTATGCCAAAATACAGCAATTTGGGGTATTATCTGACATCAATGCAGGGTTTATTCCGGTAGATTTAAGCCTCTTATATATGTTTTCTGGTGCTTTCTGGTGTTTTCCGGTAAATAGGCAGACTGAGAGAAGTTGGCGACAAGATAACGTCATTGTTCCATCGGCGGAGCACTGTAGTGTGAAATCTATCGTCACACTGTAAAAGTTGCGTTATTAAATAAACAGTATTCTACGTTTCCCACAGTACCTTCTAGGAGTAAATTAAGATCCAATCTATATTAAACCGTTACCAGGGAGGATTGTAAACCTCCTTGCTATATATTAACTTAACGGTAACGGGGGGGGGGGTGTCCTAATTCCGACCCATCCCTAATACCGTACTAGTTTGAAAAATCCTTGTTGCAGCGTTTATGATGCATGGGAGCACGTGCCTCAAAATAACCACAAGAATGGACAAAGATTTTGTGTTGATATCGGTAATCTCACAAAGTTTGTTTTAGTTCCTACACTCCGACAAAAGACGAGTGAAAAATCTGTGTGAATTTGACGCTTGTTCGGGGGTTGACAAGCGTGTCAAAAATGCAGGTTTTGCTTTTCAAACAGCCACTTTGGAGCAAGTCGCGTAATCGTAAAAAGATTACTTGTTTGGGACAGAAAAACAGTTGTAGATTGTTTCAGTCATAATTTGTGTATTATAATTTCTAAACTCTCTTCTCAGATCGACCTGTGTTAAACACTGGGTCGGAATTAGGGTACCCCTGTTGCGATAGAATGTTCCACCGGCAAAATGACCAAAAACCTGCCGTGCGTTTCGCGAACCATTACGCTTGGGTGCAAGGCGCTACACTGAAGTGAAATACACAGCTGTGTAGCTTAAATCATTGTGATCGTTACCTGTCAATATTGTAGCTCGTGTTGCGACGGTTTTTGGTCAGATAAACTATTACCAAAAGTATGTGCGTTTGCATGGAATATAGGTCGGAATTAGGACCCCTCCCGTTAGCGTCCTGTACATGTGCTCACTTGACTTTGAGTGGTGCAGCATTTGTTTATACAAGTGACTAGAGTTGGGGTTACTTTATATGCTCGTAAAAGAACCCAACACACTTATGAAGAAGGGGTGTCGAAAAAACTGCGCTCTCTACCTATGTGAGCTGTACCAAAGCTCAGCATTGCACTAGTTTAGTAGTTACTGTTACAGTGGGGGTTTATAGGCGCTACCAACTGACCCGGTCGAGGGGTCTAGACCTTTTAGCTGAGTGGTTAGAGCGTCGGAGTCTGAACTGGTGCTTGGGATCGGATGTCATGGGTTCGAACCCCGGCCCGGGACCAGGGCTTTTATCTGTTTCTACTCGATCCTCCTGTTTCTTACAGTTATTTGAAAAAGCACCATGCTTCAGCTCAGTTGAGAATGATCATTTACTACAATGTCTACATCATACGTTAGTTATGTAACGGGGGGTGCCCTAATTCTGACCTATGTTCCATGCAAAGCACTAAGTGATAAGTGTTTTATTCCAACAGATCAACATCAATGTTATTGGAGGGGACAAATGGAATCGTCTTTGCAAATTTGAAGTAAAGAACTTCCGTCATTTCATTGACAACAACCCTGGAGGCAAGTGGAAAACTTCTGATTTGATATACAGTAATTTAGAATAAAATTTATAACTAAAAGGGCGGTTTTACAATTTTGCTATTTAAGTTCTCTGTAAAATCAGGGCTCGAAATTAAAGGTGGTCCAATGGCCACTGACCACCAAAATTTAGGCTGGGACAACTAAAAAGACACTTTGGGACATTTTTGGGACAATAGAAAAATAATCAACATCAGAATGTTTGCCCTTTTTCTTGTTTATCAGGCACATATCCCAGCATTTGGATTCCCTCCAAATTTCCTGTCTATTCTGCAATTATAGTGCACCTGGGAGTGAATTTAAGCAAACTAAAGTTGACTTCAAGTTGAAGTCATACAATACTCCCAAAAAAGAGGTTGAGACAGTTCATCCTCACTTCGGGACAATCAAAATTTATTTTTGGGACAGTGCTGGGACAATAGGGAAAAAAGTTAATTTTGAGGCCTGAAAATGCATCTATAATCTGTTTATTTTTTTTCTACAGCAAGCCAGAAGCAAGATAATGTGGATCTTTCAAACTGGTGTGTGATTTTTCAGTTTTAGAATGTTTGCTATGTTGAACTTAGAAAGTATTGAGAATAACTAAAAGTATGAAACATACCAGTATTGGTTCTACACAGTTTCATCGAGTGAATACATGTATTTATATCCACTGAAAATTGTTTTCCCTGACTTCTGTTTCCCCAAGGAGGTTAAGAGAGAGGTAATTTCTTATTCTTAAATCTTTACCGAGAGCTACATGTATGGGACTGATTATTGATACGGCCTTACTTTCTTCAAGTTGTCTAATTTTCCAGGCTGAAATGATTTAACTAAGCGTATTTAATTTTGAGAGAAGAGATCTAGACTTGTAGATATAGACAATTGGCACAGTTTTGTTCCTCCTACCCTTATACATGAACCTCAGTTATCTAATCTAACGGAGTGCATTTGGCCCATGTAGGGTACCGGTGTGAATATCATGCAATATAGTTCACTGTCATTGTCACATTCACTATAAATTGTTTTTCTCTTATGATAACAATCCTATAGGTTCAGCTTCAACGTGTCCAACAATGGAGAAATCCTTGAGGTGCAGTACCCAGAGAATGAGAAGTCGTCTGCTGTCTTACAGAAGAAAGCGCTTCTTGGCACATTTTCCTCACGGCTGCATGCTTCGCTGCAGGTGAGCTTTCTTGTAAGTTGTAATGATTTTTTGAAGCTCTGTTATCAGGGCTCGAAATTAACATTGTCCCAGTGTCAAATGACACTAAATTTTCAGCTCGGGACAACTCAAATTACGTTTCGGGACAATTTCAGGGCAATTGGAAAATTCGTCATTTAGGAACGCGATCCATCCATCCTGCTGCGGGCCACCAGCAGACCATAATATTAATACTCTGACAAACATTTAAATTTGACCAATCAGGGATTCCAAACGTCGGGAGGGGGGCCCCTTGAAGATGGTGCCGCTCCCATGATACTACAATGTATTTCCTTCATGTCTGGGAAAAATGATGGACATATGCTAATAAAGTGGACTTCAAGTTGTACAAATTCAGTTGTTATTTTCTTATTGTCGTCATAAACGTATTTCCTATTTCGTATTAAAATCTATGTTTGGGACAATTCTAGGACAATAGTAAAAAAATTCATTTCGAGGCCTGGTTATGGTCTCTATTTTTTTCTCTTATGTTTCAAAAGCAATATCATAATAATTATTGAATTTCATAAATCAAGGAGGTTCTATTTTGAACCAAACCTCCTTTGTCACATTGAATCCAGAGTGATCATCAATAACTTAGCCTGGTTACCAAACCTATTATAGCTCCTGAGTCCTGTAACATCCTCTCCGCAAATAGGTTTGGTAACCAGGCTACAATTGACTGTTGTCTCATGGGGGCCCGCAAGCCCTTTTCCGTAGAACGTAATCCGCCGTTTTAATTCTACGTAGAGCGTAGACGGACTGCTCTTCGCATTTTGCGTAGAGCGTATTCGCCGTTTTAATTCTACGTACTGCGTTGTAGCCACTTGGAATTTATCGTAAAGCGTATGTGTAATAGAGGGTTTCCGAATTCAGCGTAGAGCGTTGTCGGAACCCCCCCTTGCAGGCCCTCTCTCATATCTTCCAACTGTTTTTTCCTCATAATCTTTAGGATCTGAAACATGGAGGAAAACACCAGTGGCGCTACCTGGTCAATGAGACAGGACATGAAGGTATTTTATATTATGTTTGGAATATACAACTGTATACACGTATAGAGGTCGAATGTCACATGTGTATCGGTGCAGGGATAATTTGTTTACATAGACGTGGCAGTTTTGCGTTTGTGTGCAGTTTACTAAGATGAAAGCAACTTACCAGACTGGAAATAATTAGCTTTCATGGTTGATTTGTTGCATATGAAAGACATTGCCTGACAAAAACTTACCTTCTCTAGATGTTATCAGTATAAGGCCACACAAATTTAATTTCTTGGTTAACGGATTTTTCTAGAAAAATAATGGAGCGGGCGGGCGAAAAAAATAAAAATAAAAACAGGCCTAGGCATCCTATTATGGCCCAAAATGGTACGATAGGAGCCATGAAGTCAACACACCAGGCTGGTTCAAAATTTAAACAATGAAGTTTGAACTTTTAATGATACCACTGCATTGAAATATGGAATAACTGTAACATCTAGGATGAAAGGACTGTTTTCAACTGTTCGGGGCAAAATATGAGCATTTTGCAGCTGATCATGATTCTGAATTTTTATTTTTATTTACAAATCAGAAAAAAATGAAGCGGGCGAATCCGTTAACCAAGAAATTAAATTTGTGTGGCCTAATGAGAAGATTTTCTAAATCAGTGATATGCCTTGGGATTATACTACATGTACGACACTTTATTCAAATGCTTAATATATATCTATACAGGTACTCATGAAGCAGAGTATGAAGGACAGAATATTGGTGAGGTGCTACTTTTCAAAAGGAAGAAGTTTGGTCACACAGTCCCAAATTCGGAGACTTCAAATGAAAAGGTAATTTTTCTGCCAGGGTTTAAACACACACTCATTTTGTACCCATCCCGCAGGGTATGCATAAATGTTCTATAAGATAATAGATGAATACATTCCTGGGGAGTCACACAGGTGTTTGAGGGCACAAATGCGCCAAGGATAATTAAGGGGAGGAGCTTAAATAGGCAATAGATCCTGTCCATGCCCGTAGCCAGGGGGGGGGGTCGGAAGAAAGGTCCACTTTTTATGTAAAGGTCCAAGATTTTTCTTGAAAAGATATATTGGAATCGTAGAAAAACTGCTCCCTTTGTCATTGAATAAAAATTTATCTCTGATTTTTTCTTTGAAATCCTCTCAAAAACGCACAAAATGCCATTTTAGAAGGTTCATTTTTCAAAATTTCCAGGGGACCCCGGACCCCCCCTTGGAACCTCAGTTGGAAGAACCCCCCATTCAAAATCCTGGCTACGGCATGCTGTCTGGGGGTCATTTGCCAAGGCACAAACACAATGTATCATGTGTAGTCTGTTTGACACCTGGCTGTGTCCCAACAGTACACACCCACCACACATTCAACAGTCATGCCTATGTCTAGCAAGTCTTACTACAGACTGCAGTACTTGTCAGAATTGCTAGAGGGGGCAAATGAAAAGTCATGATCTTTTTTGGTGCATGTGGATGACTGAGCTGTCATCATACTTTACTTACATGTATGCCATAGATGTTTCCCATTAGATTGGGCCCTAAGAAATGCTTGGAGTGCTGTATGTAGAAATGCTGTATTTAAATGCTAGGAGCTTTACTCAATTCCCATGTAATAGGGCAATGTAGATTCGGATTGATTCGATTGTATTGAATCTTTGAAAGTTACAAATTATGGACTATTTCATTGCAGCAAATCTGGTACCACAAAGAGAAGCAGGTTCCAACAAAAATCATGCTTGATGAAAAGTTTACAGCTCCAAGGAAGATAGCACCTGGGTAAGTAACAGCTGACATTATTTAACTAGTTTTACAGCTGCAATTGTACAACTTTTACTACATGTTTCAAAAAGAGAGAAGAGATCCTGTAGTTAGATCCTGTAGATAGAGAAATAGCACACGAATGTAAGAATTGCTTCTTCTATTCTTGTTACCAAGTTATTTAACTTAAGTGCATTTGGCCCGTGTAGGGCGTGAACATGCAATAAAGTTCATTGTCATTGTCATTGTCACTACACTGTATTTATTCCCATTCTGAATCACTGTGTGGCATTAAAAATCAATTTTTGCATGATAGGCTTAAAAAATTTGATTATTATGTGATCATGTCAAAGCAAAATGATTTCCGTACTATACTTACAATGGATGCCACAATTTCTTCTCTAAGTTTTTTTTATCTTGAACTAGTTTTCAGCCCCCCACTGCAATTCCAGTTGGGTTTGGTGAAAGCCACTCTTATGAGAGCGATGACAGCTTTGGTGAGTATGTTTAGCTTGACCATTTTTTTAAATTTTTTTTTATTTACTTCATCGGTCACCACAAAACAAGACTCATGGGAGCCACTTAATTTTTTTTGGGTTACTGCTGTACAGCCAGTGTGGACAGATGTTTGACATTAGACTTGAAGAGTTTAAGGTTTAATATTCATAGGGGAAACAATCATGAGTTAGCTTATTCCAACGTGATATTGTTCTAGGAAAGAAGCTTTCAGCGTGGAACTTCCTCCTAAGAGCTGGTGAATGGGGAAGAGAGGGTGATTTGCTTCAGTGGAAGTGGCAAGACGTGTCCTTGTTGAGAATTTTCTAAGTGGGGGCACTAGCGAATGAAGTTCCACGGAGCATTTACCGTGGAAGTAGTGATAAAATAACGCAAGGCTTGCAACATGTGCCTATGTGAGAGCTAGATAGTGGTTGTAGGGTGGCGAAGAAGTCACTCCCAGCAAGATTTTTTTCTGTCACATTTGTCAGTACACCAACTTGAAAGATCATCATCATAACATGCCTTACATGTAGGTCAAGACAGAATAAAACCGTCTAAGGTCCTTCTTGTAGGGTTTTGGTGTTGATTTTTCTCTGTTAATTTGATATTACAATCAGGTAAGTTGTGATGCAACCTACTTTTTTAAAGTTCAAGACATGACTGAAGCATTGCCTTTTTTCTTTTGATCCTAGAATATACATGTGTAGAGGCCTTTAAGCTTAAATGTTTATGGCATTAACTGCTCCTCTTCTGAGCTTGAATCTGAAATGGGAGCTAACTCCAGAATCTTAAACAAGTACTTCAAGATTTTACTATTTTCTGACACTTACAAAATGTAGATGCCAACAATATCCTGCATATTATTATAGAGTTGATATGTACAAAAATACCTACAAAAATATTTGGGTGCTCCAGTGCACCCACAGAAATTGGGTGCACAGCTCCAATTTTGGGTGGACTAAGGTGCACATGCACCCAGTATTTCGAGCCCTGCAAGTTCCTGACTGTGGGTTCTTTCCATTTCAGATCTACCAGAGATGCACACATTCTCAAGTGGGAAAATGGAGTTGACAGATGTCATCCCCATTCCAACTGAAGAGGCCCAATTCAAAGTTCCTGACAACTTGATGAAGGACACCCTCTATATTACAGAGGTGGGGAGAGCTTAATTATTTTTAATTAGCCTAATCAGATGTCTGTCCATCAATATTTGTGCCACCCTGATGGTCCAACATAATTTTCATGTTTTACATCAATTGTACAAATATTACAACATACTGAGGGCACACCAATTTAATTTCTTGGTTAGCCCGCTTCATTTTTTTCTGATTTGCAGAAAAAAAAAAAAAATTCAGAATCAACTGCAAAATGCTCAAATTTCGCCCAGAACAGTTGAAAACAGTCCTTTTCTTCCTAGTTGTTACAGTTATTCCATCTTTCAATGCAGTGGTATCATTAAAAGTTCAAAATTCATTGTGTAAATTTTGAACCAGCCTTTTGTGTTGACTTCATGTGTTGGCTCCTACATGTATCGTACCATTTTGGGCCATAATAGGATGCCTATATATAGGCCCCGCTCCATTATTTTTCTAGAAAAATCCGTTAACCAAGAAATTAAATTGGTGTGGCCTGATAGTCTTTCTTATTATACCAGTCCTCTATAGCTGTTAGGAAGGTCCATTCATAATATCTTCTAAACACAATGTTCATTACCATCTTTAAAGCTTATAATGTAATAACTTGAAAATTAGTTTGATGAAATGCATTTTAATGTTACAGTAGCATTTCGTCTCTATGTCTTTGATTCTATTTTTCTTTTATTTCCAGTACCCTAAAATCAGGTTTTCGCTGGATGCTGTGTCACGGGAAATCACGGGAAATCTCACGTGCATGCGCGAAGTTCGTCCAGTATGTAAGTACTATGCAATTACAGATCATGTACATGTAAACGCCTTGATTGTGTAAATATCTAGAGGTAGAATCCAACCATGGGTATTATAACATTGTATTTTTAGTGTGGTGTGTGGCATGCCCATAGCCAGGGGGGGTTCGGAAGGTTCAAACTTTTTATGTTAATGTCCACTTTTTGGTCCACTTTTTATGTAAAGGTCCAAGATTTTTCTTGAAAAGATGGACTGGAATCGTAGAAAAACTGCTCCCTTTGTCATTGAATAAAAATTTATCTCTGATTTTTTCTTGGAAATCCTCTCGAAAATGCACGAAATGCCATTTTAGAACATTCATTTTTCAAAATCTTCCGGGGAAGCCACTCGCTGGTCCCCTCATCAGGCAGTGGGAAGAACCCCCCCCCCCCATTCAAAATCCTGGCTACGGGCATGTGTGGTGCTACCAACTTGAAGGTACATGTCAAGCATCTCCTTTTTGTAAAACCAAGAAGGTAATAGGAAAAGCCCTTTCTCCATATAAGCTCCTTAAAAATTGTCATTCAATAAAACACCCTTGCAATACACAAGTCAAGTCAGAGTCTAACAATTGTACCAGGTATTATGAATGGCAGAATAAGATTACTCATAAGCTGGTATGGGTCTATCAAAACTTACTACATGCAATGAATGTATATCTCCAATTCAATAGCATGAAATTATTCATAATTACATGTTAGGGTTGAAAATGAAAATACTTTTTATGCATAGAAATTAAAAGCTTTACCTGCACCAGTCATTTTCCTTGCCTTTCTATGAAAAGAAGGTTTCTTTGTCTTGCTATGAAAAATGCACTGCATTTTGATCCAATAATAACAGACAACTAACTACTAACCCTATTTTGAGCCCTAATGTTCTTGTGTACTCTTCTTATGGATACAATGTATTTCTTTGTGTTGAATATGTGTATTTTTTTTTTAATTCTTAGATGCCAGAGAGCGAATTAAGTGCTTCCAACAACTAGTTTCTATCATCAACCATCTTGAGGAATTGGATCTTTTAAAAGTGGCAGACAAATACATCCAGTTTCCCACAAGAGATTCCAATACTACAGAAGACATGCATGCCATCATTGACGCATTTGGAGCTGCTGCTCTTAACGAAACACAGAAAATTCTGACCGAGAGAATTTTGTTAAAGAACCCCCCTGATGCAGGTCTTCTGAAGAAACTGTTTTCTCATTTCGTCAATCTACCAAATCCACCACCCTTGGTTAGTTGTGTGAAATTCTAATACCTTTAATCTCAATATATAATGCAGGGCTAGAAATACTGGGTGCATGGTGCACCTTAGTGCACCCAAATTTGGAGCTGTGCACCCTAAATTTTTTACTGTGGGTGCACTGGTGCACCCAAGTATTTTCGTAGGTTTAACGTATGTAAAGATGTTGAATGTGTAGTAATGTTACAGCATATTCTTAACATTTAAGTGTCAGAAAAAATAATACAATCATTGTTATAGTAATTTTCTTGAAATAAACATGATTAAGTTTTTGGTGGTAATTTTTATCTTATATGGTGCACCTAAAATATTTTTTGTGCACCCAATTTTTTAGGTTGGGTGCACCAGTGCACCTATTCCCAAAAATTAATTTTGAGCCCTGTAATGGTTAACCCTGCAATACAAGTAATGTTCAGTACACTTAAATGTACAATTGTCTTTTTCATGTTCTTTTTCAGACATTTATTGATGCACTGGAAGACCTAGTATTTCAAGGAGCTAAATTTTCAGGTAACTTAAATTCAGTTTCTCTATACTATAGTAAATTCACAACCTCTTTTGGGAAAGGAATATTTGTATTCTTTTTACTTTTGTAAAGTCTTCACTTGTTGCTAAACACTTGAAAGATAAAATGCACTTCCATCAAACTGAATTAATGCAAAGTGTTTGTTTTATGTTACAGATGATGAAGACACCAAAGAAATCACAACCATGGCAACACTGCTCCTTGGATCTCTTGCCGGTAGTCTGAAGTCCACAAATCCCGTGCGTGCAGAACGTCTTGTTGCCAGAATGGAAACAGAACTCCAACTGCATGGTATAGTGCATTCAAATGTAATATTCTCACTCACTCACTCACTCACTCACTCACTCACTCACTCACTCACTCACTCACTCACTCACTCACTCACTCACTCACTCACTATCCGTTTAACGTCTAATATTAATAGAGCTCAATCTTTATTGTGGACTTGTGTGAACATTCAGGGGTAAAGAATGTTTTGCTGCTTCTTCCAAGCTTCATACAGATTTTCCATGGCTGCAAGATACAAATTAAAGTAGAATGTTTTACCTGTAACCATCTAATATACTCTGGTAGTGTACTACAGTGCATGGGTTAGAAGCATGCAAATCTTAGCACAAGCAGACACCTCTTCAAGCTGGCCACCAGGCCATAATAGTCAGATTCTCCTGATCCCAATTTTTTTTCAAAAGGCACAACCTGCCCAATGGCAAGAAAGTCGACCACAACTTTACCTCAGTTCCCTGGGTGACCATCTTGGGCAGGCTTGACCGTACAATTGTATGGTTGATAATGTTGATATACAAACTGCCATACAAACATTGTTATGTTTACCGAAGGAAAACACAATTTTGTTTTGCTCTTCTTCCTCCTCTTCCTCTTCTACTTCTCCAAACCGACAAGGTCAGTGACCTGAACCAGACGTCTGTCACCATGGTAACTAGTGTTGGGTTACATCATGTTGCAATTGTTATAGCTAGCAGGAGGGATTCAGACTCCTGTCTGACCATATATATGAATGTGTTTGAGTAAGCCAAAATCAACAGAGCAGACCATATGCGAACTTCAAAGTAAACATTATGTATTTGTTTTGCAAATGTTACCATTCTAGTTCATGAGTGTTTTCTGTCTTAACTTACTCACTTAGATCCTCAGAAGCATAGGACCATTCGATCAGCTGAAACCGGAACACACGAATATCACCACGAGCAGAGGAAAGCTACATTACTCCTGTCCCTGGGAAATGCTGGTCTGGACCGGTCCTACCACCACATCCTTTCTTACATCAACACCACCGACTCACCACAGCTGCTTAGGAGGAGGGGTGCAGCAGCAATCGCTAACTACCATCATGAAGATGTATGTTCTTGGATCTGTAGCATCCCCTAGTCTTTGTGATTATTTATTTGACTAGTACTAGTTTGCTTGCACGCATGTACGTGCTTCTGCGTATTGTCTACATGCAAAAACGTGGGCAAATGTAGGGGATCCGTACGTGGTGAGTACCGCCTCCGTACGGAATCCTACGGATTTAGGAGCACGCAGACACGCCGTAGAACTTTATAAGTGTGCATGTAAAACTTTTTCTACGTGCGGTCTGCGGATTCACCACCCATACGTGCGAGTACGGGCAACGCGCGTGCCCCGTGCGTACCGTACACCGTACATACGACACATGTGTAGGTGCGGCCTCCTTACGGTAAAGTTGCAATCGCACAGAGATCGTACGTTGTAAGCATGTACAACTCACTCACCACTTGCTCAACGAACGCTCACGGCAATACTTGGCGTGCAGACCACACTCTTACACCTTGCGCAACTGTGCGAGTGACGTGCTAATGACATGCGAGTGACGTGCGTCAACGCCACTCCTTCACCATGTTTTCAGAAAAACGTAGCAAACGTGGTCTCCCAAAAAAGCGTACAGACAAAAATCATGCATGGCAGGTTGTGGCCGGGGCTTTATATACATGTACATGTATGCCATTTTGCTTTCAGTCCATTCACTGCTACTGATTCTGACCTAAGTGACGTAGTAACTGATATTTCAATGTTTTGTATAACAGGCTGCATCAATGCTGCTCAGTATTGCCCTGGACAACAACCATGAAGACCACGTCCGCTATGATGCTCTCTTAGAGTACAGGAGACATCCCAAGGCTGTGCCAATAAGTGACATCCAGTACCACCTTGTTAGAGGGTAAGCAACATTTTGCCAGAGCCTGATAACACATAAAACATTTCATGATGTGCTTTTTTGTGTCACAATGTTTTACATAATATTTAAGAAGCTGCTCTAACTTAATAGTTTAATGCCCAGTTAGTTCATTTAGAAAATATTACAAAATGATATTAGATGATCCAATTCTTTGTGACTATTTGACCTTGTTCTTAATTAGGAGAATGCTTTGCATATCAAACAAAAATGTTTTTCTTGATTCAGATTGACAAACATAACAGGCCTAAACAAAAGGGATCATTCACGACTGAAGCGAGGCATCTTTGATGGCATCCAATTCAAATTACAACTGCCGGGTTACGAGTGGAACAAACAGGTTGGATCGAGCAAGATCGGGGCTAATTTTGGACTAACTATTCGGAACATAATGGACCTAGACATAGGTATGTGTAATTTTGCACATTCAGAAAAGGACCAATATTAAATGATCATTTGTTGTGCATATCGGAATATTCCTTGTTTGCCGTCAATGGTAAATGAATTAGATAATTAAAATACTTAAAATTACTTACTAATACAAGAAGAGTGGATTTTGTAAATTTCAAAATGGCAGCATAAATGTGAGCATATGTATTATTGCTATTGCTTTCCAAGTTATTGCAAGTACATGTATAATGTTTTACAAACCAAGGGTACAATCATGACAATTACAATCATGATGACAATGAACTTTATTGCATATTCACACCCTACATGACCCAAATGCACTACGTTAGATAACTGAGGTATAAGGGTAGAAGGAACAAGTGCTACATTTATGCTACATGTACGTCTATAATATTATCTACAAAATCTCATTGCATGATTTAATGCCCTAATAAGGCCACACCAATTAAATTTCTTGGTTAACGGATTTTTCTAGAAAAATAATGGAGCGGGCGTGCAAAAAATAAAAAATAAAAACAGGCCTAGGCAACCTATTATGGCCCAAAATGGTACAATAGGAGCCATAAAGTCAACACACCAGGCTGGTTCAAAATTTAAACTGTTAAAATGAATTTTGAACTTTTAATGATACCACTGCATTGAAAGATGGAATGACTGTTACAAGTAGTAAGAAAAGGATTGTTTTCCACTGTTCAGGGCAAAATATGAGCATTTTGCAGATTCTGAATTTTTATTTTTTTTGCAAATCAGAAAAAAATGAAGCGCCGAATCCGTTAACCAAGAAATTCAATTGGTGTGGCCTTATTAGGGCATTAAATCATGCAATGAGATTTTGTCTGATAATATTATCTCTCTCCAAAAGAATGGTCTCCAAACATCGAGAGTATCCCTTGCTGACACTATTTTCTTCTGTTTTGATGCAGCACCTCTGAAAGGGCATTTCAAAATTGATGTTCTGGACGAAGCATATGCAGTGGCTAATATTGGCATATTGGGTATCCACCAAGATCTGGCACGAGTACGCTTCTGCTTTAGAGGACACATTAAATATGAAATCAACATTCTCCAGGTAATAAGAACTAACTTAAAGACAACATTATCATGGATGTCCAGATCTGCAACTATAACTAAGCAACAGTCCTAGAATCAAAACCTCCCTCTTTTTTTACAGGTCAATGGTTTATTATGTTTACCGAAGGAAAACATATTGCTTTTGCTACGTTTCCTCTTCTTCTTCTTCTGTTACAAACACTGACTTCTGACCTGGCCAATGACCTTATTCTTTTATGTCTCTCACCATGGTAACTGGTGTTGAGTTACGTACATAATGTTGCAATTTCATAGTAGGAGGGATTTATACTCCTGTCTGACCATGGTTGTGTATTTGAGTAAGAACTAACAGAGCAGACAATATACGTCAACTTGGTAAACATTTAATGCATTTGCTCTGCAAATGTTACTTTTCTAGTATTTAATTTCATTATCATGATGATACATGACTGTGTAGTTGGATTTTTTTTGAAATGGTATAATACCACTAATCTGAGTGTTAAGTTATTATCTGTTATAGTTAGAATATATTCTATAGACAGAATATTTTTATAGCTAGTTATTGTTTATATTATTTTGTAATATTTCATTTACAATTTCTCATTTCCTTACACAGGAGTTCAACTTCGAGGACATTTTCAACATTGTCAAGTTGCTGGATTCAGTTGTGAACAATATCGTTGGATCAATTAAACAAACAATTGAGAGCTTTCGACAACTATTTGACAGTACTTCAGATCTGTCATTTCCCAAAATAATCCAACGGTTCGCCGATGCATTTGATGACATCCCCTTCAAGATTGACGACCTTCGCGCTATCGGACAAAAAGCTATCCAGACAATCGGAGAAATTGTGGACCCACCCGACTTCATCACTGATGTATCCAACGTCATACGAAGGGTGACTGCACTGGTGACAGACATCAAAACAGACGTGACAAAGTTCTATGATGTAAGCCTCCCTCAAATCTGTTTTAATGTTATAATTACAGTAACTGTGAATTGTTTGGTTCCACCTTGTGGCTGTACACATACACAGGGATGAGTTGCTAACAATGTAAATTCTAATTGAGTACGAAACATATGAAATGGCCAGAGGCGTACAGAAAGTGCGAAATGGAACGAAATGGATCAAAAAGGAACGAAATGGATCAAAATGCAACGAAATGGAACACATCATAATTATCTATTCACCACTCACTTCTGTATTAAAAATTTAAAACAGTTCCATTCCTTATATTTTGCTACCTATTTCATTTCATTCTGTTCACATACAAGGGACGCAGCTGGTGATAAAATGTCTCCCCGTGGGCATACCGCTAGGACAGACAGAGACCACAAACACGTCCGCACATGTTGACTGCTCAAATCAAAACTCAATTTATTGTTAACGTACATGTACCTTATAACGTTGTGGTCACTTTATTCTCAACGTACCCCAATCGATCTTATAACGTTGCGGTTCTAAGAATACCATCAATCTTAACGTTGCCGTTTGCACGTCGAGCGGACACTAACGACGCCGTTCCAATGTACGAACAGCTTAACGGCTTTTCTCCATACCTATTTTGTTTCATTTCGTTCCATTTCGTTCCATTTCGCACTTTCTGGGGTCCCATACCAGGGCAAACACCTATCAATGCTACTGGATATTACAGTTCCTATATTCATCAACATTTACCAACTCATAACTTTAAAATTCGAAGTCGCATTGAAGGCTGTTTGAAAACTTTGAAATCTACTTACTAATAGAATATCTCTGTCTCGTCTGTTGCAGAGCATTGCAGATGCTATCACTGTGACCCTGCCATGGGCAATTGAGCAGATAAAGGAGGCAGTTAACATGGTCGTAAACACGCTAAAGAACTTGTTCAAGTCACCACTTTCAGCTCTTGGAGACATACAGAAGGCAATTCTCAAGTAAGCACAACTTCTTCATGTACATTGATATCAGCACTATATATATACATATTAATACATAGATAATTATGATAGATAGTTATGATAATTTGGATAGGAAACTTTGTAACATATACCTTTTTGTGGCAATTGAAACTCAACTTTTTCCTAAAAATATGCAACATTCTTAAGACTTAATATTGGTGTCATCTTTGAAAAACTTCCTTTATTAAGATTGTTTCCTTTTTCAGGATTCAACTGGCAATATCATCAGTTCTTGATGCTAAGAAACGGATAGAAGATGCCTGCTTGTTCACTAAAGGTGAATCTCATTCTTCATACAGTGTATCACCAAAATCCATTGTATTCAATGTAAAATTCACTGTGTACTACATGTAACTTATTACTAAGTCATTGTATTTTTAATTCTCCAGATACTATCATAATGATAATTGCTATCATGACAACATATAGGAACATAGGGACCTCTCCTTTTTTGTTACGATTATTTTACATGTAATCATCATTATGTACAAAGTTTTGTTATCTATGTTTTATTTTATTGACCCCAGGAAGAATAGTGCTTTTAAGCACTAATGGGGATCGAAATAAACAAACAAACAAACAATCACACTATGTCTATCCTGACCTACAGGGCAGCGACCGTACTGGTTTGACATCAAATCAGTAATCACAGAAATCTGGGAGGATGTACTGACGGCAAAAGACTCTGTACTGAAGGCATTTGAGTGGTTCAATGGGAAACACAGCGGTGACGAGATATTTAAAGAGTTCACTGGCGTCGATGCGGTCAGCAGTTTCATATTAACTCTTTTTCCTCCTTCAATCTATCAAGATTAGCTTAAACTATTCATTGTAATACATGTTATCGGTGTACAGAAAGTGCGAAATGGAACGAAATGGACGAAATGGAACGAAATGGAACGAAATAAAACTAAATGAAACTAAATATGTATGAAGTACGTTGGAACGGCGACGTTAGTGCGTTTTTGCTATCTATTTCATTTCATTGTGCACATGTAAGGGACGCGGCTGGTGATAAAATTCCTCCCCATGGGCATACCGCTAGGGCAGACAGAGACCACAAAGAAGCCCACTTTGACTGCTCACCTCAAAACTCAATTAATTGTTTTTATAACGTACCTTATAACGTTGTGGTCACTTTATTATTAACGTACCCTGATCGATCTTATAACGTTGCGGTTCTAAGAATACCATCTATCTTAACGTTGCCATTTGGACGTCGAGCGGACACTAGCATCGCCGTTCCCACGCACAAATGACTTAACGGCTTTCCTTCATACATATTTCGTTTCAATTCGTTCCATTTCGTTCCATTTTGCACTTTCTGGGGTCCCTGTAATATACATGCTTTGTAAAATAGCTACATGTAACACTACAGATAAAATTCAATTTTCTCACTTCTTAGGTGAATTTAGTGCAAGCCTTGCTGGAATTAAAGATAGCAGAATTGTAACAGTATACCAATTTTTAGCTTCCATACTTTCAAATTGGAAGGTATACACATTGAAAGGTATACACATTAAAAGAAATTTGGGACTTACATGTAATGAGCTAAACGTTTTATACATCTTGCAAAATGGTAATGAAAAACAGCATTTTGTATTATTTTGGAGCTCAGAATATATTGCATAATAGCTATAATGTCATTTTATTCTAAGCTACCCACACTCATGACCCATGTGTTGCATTTTTCTTGTTTTTAATCAAAGTTATCTTTATCTTCATATTATTAGAATGTGATTCGACAGCAAATTAAAGAGGAACTCCTTGCCTCTCTGAACACCTTCATCAGTGGCCCACTGCAGGTTATACAGGAGTTGGCGGCTCCTTTTGTGTCCACCTATGAATCAGTTGTGAAGACGATAAATGCTGTGAAAACTGGATACACAACTGTCAAACAAGCGTGAGTTAACCTCTGTATCTGTATCTGTATAGCCGGTATAACCGCCTTTCGGCATAACATACCAGCTTCGCAGGCACGCGGCGCGGTGGCAGCTAGCTATATTACAGTGATCGACTTGTTACACCTAACCCTTGAACTTCTAACTCTAGACATTGTTTAAAACTATCTAATGACAATGCCCCTACTGTACTTGGTGACAGTGAGTTCCACTCTGCAATAGTTCTAGGAAAGAATGAATTCTTGAACACCTCAATCCTTGGTTGATAGCTCTGGTACTTTAAGGCATGGCTATTTCTTGTCCTCTTCTGGGCTGGCATTAGGTACTTAATAGTTAAGACGTCCACCAGTTTATTAGTCATTTTTGTACATCATGCATACAATGTAGTTTGGACATTTTTCTTCTGTCTTCCAATGAGACCCACTGTAGGTTACTATTCATTTCCGTGACACTAGCACCTCTTTCATAGTTGTTCATAAAGAATCTTGCAGCTTGACTCTGTACCCAACCTAACCTAACCTAACTTATATTCAACATGATTAGTCTTATTTAGAATATTTACATATGCTGCAATCTATGGAACTTAAAATGAGCAAAATGTACATTATAGATGATTCTTGGGTCTTGCAACTGTTCATGTCTGATGTACAAAATGTTACTAAGTACTGGACTTTGACTTCTAGTTGGTAACAAACAAAAGCAACTTTTCTATTCTTTGAATCAGTTCTGTTAGAAAATGATTTAATCAGGTGCTCATTCATTATTTCTTAAACCTAACTTGATTAGATAAGGCTCTACATGTATGTTCCACTCTAAGTTTTGACCTCATATGAATTTAGTGTCTGGTATGCCATTAATTATTCTGTTATGTTCCTCCTATAAAGGTATACTGCTGCAAGGACCTTGATCAGCAAAATATTTGGACCAAAAATACACAAGGACTTTCCTAAGAAACTGCTGGAATCAGACAATTGCGGCAATGGATTTTATCCAAGCACTGCCAGAGGGAGATACGGGCATCGAGGTGTGGATCTGGAAGTTAGCAGTAATGCAGAGGTAAAACATTACAAGGTGTTAAGGTGACAGAACAAACTTAAAGTCAGGGAAGATTGACTGCTGGATGGCATCTGCAACTTTTAATGCGGTCTTGGCTTAAATGACAATAGAAACAATAAAAACTATGGTCTATCATGTTCAGCACGTACTGCGTTCACTGTTGAGCCAATTGTCATCTACTTTCAGTAACAGTCATGTTGTGATCAGAGTGAATCTCTACAGGGTATCCTGTTTACTTGATGACCACCACTGATATTTGGGACCATCCTTTTGGAATTTGTCCATCGTCGAGTGATGATCACACACACACACACACACACACATATACAGGCATGCAAACACAGCATTAGTTGTAACTTTTTAGAGTTGTAACTATGTTGAACTCTACATTTATTACCAAAGTGCAAAGAATTGCAAGGATGTAGATTATAGTAACAGACTGAGTGTGACACACTTTGCTACTCTTTTGACAGATTGTTGTTCCCTTCACTGGAGACGTCAGTGTCATGGCTGCCAATGAAATCTCCATTGTTGCAGATGAACTCGACGGCATTGAAATCATTCTTAGCTCAGTCAGCCTTAACAGTGGAAAAGATGGGATGAAGGTAATTCATTTTTGCTACAATGAACAATGCATGTCAGAGTTGTATAACTCAGAATTGCTTGTTTGGACATCATTATGTTATACTGAATTTTACATCTAAAGAGACATCGAAAAAGACATCTAAAGAGACATGTAAAAGACTAGAAATTAAAGGTAACATTTGCAAACCAAACACATAAAATTATGTTAACCTTCCCATGCATATGGTCTGCTGCTTTCTTTATTACTCAAACATATTCACATATATGGTGACAGGAGTCTAAATCCCTCCTGCTATAAAATTATGTAACCCAACACCTGTTACCATGTAGAGAGAGACAGCCAGGTTCAGGTTAGTGTTACTAACAGAAGAAGAAGAAGAAACAGGAGGAACAGATAAAAACCCACTGGTCCCGGGCCGAGGTTCGTAACCACGACCAAACCCGGGCACCAGTCCACAGGCAGACACTCTAACCGCTCGGCCGAAAAGGTCTAGACCCGTCGGTCGGGTCAGTTGGAAGCGCATATAAACCCCCCACTGTTACACTACTCCCCCTTTCCTTTTCAAGATTGAATTTCGTCCTCGAATCTTCCGAATTCGATATCACTGGAGCGGCACTCTTTGCCAAAACTCCCATGGCCGGTGCGGGAACCACTGTAAGAAACAGGAGGAACAGATAAAAACCCACTGGTCCTGGGCCGGGGTTCGAACCCACTACCAAACCCGGGCACCAGTCCACAGGCAGACACTCTAACCACTCGGCCGAATAGGTCTAGGCCCGTCGGCCGGGTCAGTTGGTAGCGCCTATAAACCCCCCACTGTTACAGGAACCAAAAATTATATTCAATTTGATATATATTATGTTTTCCTTTGATTAGGAGAGCTTTTCCTCAATAAACCTCAATAAACATAAATATACTGTATAATTATACAGTATCTTTTATACCTGAAAATAGGTATTCAAAGGAGAGCCACTGGGACGTGCCACATCATCTGGATGTACCCCAAACAGCATCCACCTGGCCATGAGAAAAGTTGGAACAACTGAGTACATAGATCCAACTCGATACCTAGAGAAGAGGATTATGCCTAAGCCACAGTGGATTCAAGAGTGTGATGATTACCTTGTTAAATTACTGGTATGTTTTGCAGAAATTTTGTAAAGTGATGCCTTTTTCTCAACATTGTGCTTTCATCGTTTAGACTTTAGCAGTGGATATGTCATATGAAATTTTTCACTAGCCTGGTTACCAAACCTATTGATAGCTCCCGAGTAATACATCCTCTCCGCAAATAGAAGAGGATGTAGGACTCGAGAGCTATAATAGGTTTGGTAACCAGGCTAATTTTTAACAGACCATAAAAGAGATTTTTAGAATTTATTTCTGAAATTCTTCAAAAGTTGTCTACACTCCAAATAGAGATTTTGAAAGGTAGGGTAAGTTGGTATCCAAATGTTGTTCTGTATGTCAACTTTCTTTTCTTCTAGTTCAAAGTGTTTGCAGAAGGATCACTGACAAAAGGACCCAAGGACAATGACACCACACCAGCACGTGGCCAGGAACCAGATGTATCCGGTCTGCAACCCATTCCGACTGGCAACAGGAAAAAACGAGACATACCCTTCATAACAGCACTACAACAGAGAGCAGATGGTTTGTAAAAAGCACATTAAAATAAGATACTTATACAAGCATTACAGTAACATTAGAGTAGATATCAGCTAGATATGTGGTAACTCTGAAGAGCTTGCCATACATTGTACTGGTTACAATTGTTGTGTAATAAAGTTTGTTTGATTGATTGATTGATTGATTGATTGATATCTGGTATAGAAGATCTAAATCATGAAACTTGTTGAATGTGTATTTTACATACTAACAGATAAAGTGTAAGAATGTTGCACATCATCCAACCTTAATAGAAATTTCATTAAGCCTTTTGTGTTTTATTGTTTTTAGTGACTGACTTAGTGTTTTATTGTTTTTTATAAGTTGTACAAAAGTCATTTTACATCTTGTTTTTTTTTTATAGATTTTGCAGATCGTCTAGGCCTGCCACGGATATCTGAAATTGGACCAGTCCTTGCAGGGTTTAACATAAAGGATATCAAAGTTGGCCAGATCCTTGACTTGCTGGAAACATTTGGACTGACAGAGTTAAAGAAAAAACTTGAAAATGCCCTTAACACCTTAGAGGTATTGTCTTTCATTGTTGTTTATTGGTGATGAATATCAATGATATTCATGTATCATGTATAGAATTGGGCTTCATGTTAGTTACATCCAAATTTTCCATCCTCTGGGTATGATATTGAAACGAAGTATCACCGATCTTTGTCCATTTTGGGCCAATTTCTTTCAGCGCACCAAAGGGTTTTGTGTAAAAAGAAGTTACATGTACATGTATATATACAAGTGGAATTTCATGTAGTAGAAATACATGTATAGTGGATGCAGCATCTGACACATTTGGCCCTGTTTGATTTATTTTATGTATTATGTACTTGGATGTCTTTCTTTCATCTTTTTTCACTTCAAATTTTGAAGATATTTCACTCTTTCTCCAAAGGAACTGCTGGGTACAGGGAAATGTGTTGCAACAGAAACAATGGATGACGATACGCTGAAATTGGGATTGAAAGCTAGAGGAAAATCCACAAGTGGTTCTCGTATGAGTCTAATCAAAAGATTCAAGGATCCTGATGAGGGTACGAGACTACAAAACTAGTATGATAATCATTGTGCGTTTGATTTTATTTGGCCACACAGATTTAATTTTATGGATGACATCCTCTGAAGACCCCCAAACTAGTTCACGCAGGTGAATAAGAAAAATTCCGGCCAAAGATAAAATTGCTACTAAACCACAGGAATACAAAGCTGGTATTGTGAATTTGCAGCAGTACATAACGACATATATGACAAGCCGGCACATGCTGGCTTTTTGCAGAAGTTATGAATCGGCACTGTGCCTATGTACTGAGTTCTTAAGTCGTGGAGCTTCGGTAGCCTGGGTGCAATCCTCCAGAGTTACCACCGGCTCCGTATTGTCGCTAACTACCATGGACAACACAGACCTAGACCCAGGACAGAGCCTTGAAGGACGTGATCTTTTTTTTTTTTGGAGAACAGGCAAAAATCAATGCGCCCACAGATGTCATCCATAGAATTAATGTAAATTAAGTTGGATCAATACAAAATTTGTGACATTGTCTGACTATATGTCATATGGAATTCATTGTCATTGCACTTTGGAGACATACACATGTACCTGTATGCATCTTAAGTCCTTTTTGTTTTGCAGGTTGCCAAGGCCTCCATAAACAATTACCCGGAGGTATTGCATGTCGTTTTTCGGACAACTGTCTTAGCGTGACGTGCTGTGTTGAACTCAAGCTTGTCGTTATTCGGCGGGTCTTGGAAGCTTCACTTACCTTAGACCCCTGTAGTCTGGAGCTCACTTTGACCGTTGGAAATTTCAAAAGGTCCTTTAAAGTCACTGATCATTTAGGTGAGTTATTGTAGTTACAAAATTGATTTTTAATTTTTTTTTTATTATCTTTATTCACAAAATCACATAAACAATACATTATATCGCAATTGATACACAAAAATTTGAATTTAAAACAATACCTAGTTATACAATTTACGACTATAGATGTACAGAAATTGGTGGTCATAAGACTTGTACTGTAACAGTAGATTTAAATCAAGGAGTGATTACAAAACTTGAACTACATTTTTACAACACAAAGGTGGGCGAATCAAAATGAAATGTCGATAGCTAAGCTTCTCTCTATTCTGTGTTTTACGGCATGGAACGTTGGGTTGATATTGCTAATTTTACAAAATTGATAAGGGACAATGTGTTGTGTACACATGTACATGATTGTCTTTTTCCAACTTTTTTCAGAAACATCATCTTTTTAATTCACCAATAGTGCCTTAAACTTGATTTTTTTACTAATTTTTGATTCGTTGTATATATATATTAAGATGTATACAGTGTCATGATAATCATTCATCTATTTTCTTTGTTTCAGCGGAGCAATATAGTGGATCTATCATAGACAATCTAAATGTCATGGATGTGGTGACATTCACGGTAACATATTCTATCAAGAGGGTTGGCAATAAAGTGACAGTGGACTTGAGTGCTTCAATGTGTGCAAAGGATAAGTGCAAAGAATTTTCCAAAGTATTCGACGGGTTGACCCTTTCCCTTCCCCAGTGCTCTGGTGCACGGTCTTCAACAGCTCGTAGAGCAAAACTAATAGGTACAATCATCCTTAAATTGAATTAATGTATAGAATGCAACCAATAATGGCGGAGAAGTTGTTAGAATTTACCTTTCCATCAAAATTTATTTTGACTTTATAAGCTACAAGATTTCAATTTTGCAAGCTGCACAATGGTATTTAAATGTAGTGATTTTTATAGTATATACAAAGTGCCAGATCAAAAATTGTAATTGTTATTGTTAGCCCTAAATCAGGAACTCTGTGTCCTTTTCAGATTTGGATCAACTGAAGGAAAAAACTCTTCAGGAAATCAAGGAGCTCTTGGACATAAAAAATCCAGGCTCATTTGACATCCAACAGCTCATGAAGAATCTCCGTGAGGCATATTTAGAGATTGTGAGTACTGTTACAGTACATGTATTAGGAATTGTAGCAAATGTTTATTATTTGAAATAGTGGTTGTTGCTAATTTTGCATACATGTACAAATAATGATGTACATTGTACTAGTAAGTAAAGTTACATGTACAGTGAAATGTATACATAATGTAGTTATGAAATTATTTAAAATAGTGGCTGTTGCTAATTTTTCATACATGTACAATGTACATTGTACTAGTACAAAATGTGTAAGTAAAGGTACATGTACCGTGAAATGTATACATAATATTATGTAGTTATGAAATAATGTAACTGTGGCACTGCAACTGCATGGCACCAACTCCAGATCAGAGAAGGGATTTTTAATTATTGATTTAGTAAGACTCTGATGTTCACTACATTTGTATGAAAAAAAAACAACAACTGTAAATCTTGATCTTTAAGTTCTCAGCATGATAAAACTATTTACTTGATGGCAGTCATGTGAATGTGGAATAAGTAAATGAGTAAATGGCAGGAAATATTAAGTTTATATTAATGATACCATTTACTGAAGCTACATGTTGACTGTGCAGACCAAGCAAGTCTGATTTTCAGATGATGCCTTGAAAAATAAGTCATTGACTATCTGTAGTCAATGTTTCAAATTACTAATAGATCCAAAGTGCATGATTGTCATATTGATTCTAAAAAAGCATTTTCATTTTCATTTTTTCTCATATGCATCGATGAAGAAATCAAACCTTAAGTTACAGTAACTTCTTTTTTTTTGTCACTCATATTTTTTTTTATTTTCACGTTCCCAGGCCAAGGATGCACTAAACAATCTCCTGGGAAAGCTGTTTCCTGGACAGTTCTCCAGCTTTGATGTGTGCATGAATGGAGTGAAGATATTTGGCCCAAATGACATAAAATTCTTCAGTTTCACCTTCAATTTCTTCCTTGGACCAGTTCCAATGCAGTTTGGTAAATACTTATTACTTTTTATTGATTTTAAACTTTTACATGACATTGTATATGTTGAAAATATAAGTCCACAGCAGTTATCATGAAAGTGTCATCTCTCCAGATGGATATGACAGTTTCATATGATATAATAACTGCCGTGGCTATGTGTGCATGTCTACATTGTCAAAATAACATGCATGTATGTCTATTTTCAAGTCAAATGTATTTTGATAATGCTAGAATCTTGTTTCCTTGCAGGGTTCTCTGCAGGAGGTAGTTGGAAGGTGGAATGTGGTTTCAAACTTTGTTTCCTTACTATGAAGGCCGAGGTAAGATATATGTAGCAATGACTGTCCTTGGCATCATTTTATATACTACATTGTATAGTTTAACCAAATTGCACCCTTAGATACACTGTACATGTACAATGTGTATATACAATGTATTATCTAGTATTATACATGCTTGTAGTCCTTTTGCTTCAAGTGCAGAGACTAGGTAATGTACAGTATATACAACTTCTTTTTAATTTTACCACGATTTAATTTCATAATGATTAATGTCCTTTCCTCGTTCTTTTCAATTGTTAAAACCTGCATGCTTCATATCTTATAATTTAGGTTTTAGTGCCATGCAGATTTGTGCTTATTCATTATGGTGTTGATGTGACATCAAAAGTCACTAAAAGTTATGTCAATTGTTCTTTGTATTTTACTAATCATGTTAAACATGCATATTCTCATTTTAATGCAAAATCTATGCCTGTATTAGGGAACAGCCACACCCCAGATTGGTGCAATGGTGTCCGGAGAGCTTAATGTCAACCTCTTCCTCTTCAAAGCTGGTTTGAAGTTAACCGGTTATCTACTGACAACCAAGTTTCCTACCAAGGCAGAGGTTGGCTTCAGCAAGTTTCCCTTGGACGTTGGGTAAGATTCTTTACTCATCTTTTATTTGTTGAATTTCATAATATCCCAAGGTTGAATAAAAGGTATTCTTGGCCACACCAATTTAATTTCTTGGTCAACGGATTCGCCCGCTTAATTTTTTTCTGATTTGCAAAAAAAGCAATCAGAGTCAATTGCAAAATGCTCATATTTTGCCCTGAACAGTTGAGAACAGTCCTTTTCTTCCTAGTTGTTACAGCTATTCAATCTTTCAATGCAGTGGTATCATTAAAAGTTCAAAATTCATCGTTTAAATTTTGAACCTGCCTGGTGTGTTGACTTCATGGCTCCTATCGTACCATTTTGGGCCATAATAGGATGCCTAGGACTGTTTTTATTTGTATTTTTTTTTTCGCCCGCCCGCTCCATTATTTTTCTAGAAAAATCCGTTAACCAAAAAATTAAATTAGTGTGGCATAAGCATGAAATGCATATTTTGGCTACTAGTAAGACAATGTTATCACACTCTTGGTGTTTTGACATTCCCCAAAACCATGTTCACTTTGTGCAATGTAATTTATTCTGAGAGAGGGAAAAAAAGAATCCTACATTAATATCATTCCGGGGGTAGCAACAATATTCATATTTGATTATAATGTTTATAAATGGCAGTTATTATAAACTCATTATCAACTTCAGTGCAACTTTCTTTTTTACCTTTCAGAATTCGGATGGACCTAGAACTTATACCTCTTCGACTTGAGCTGCGGGCTATCCTCAAATTGACTGTAAAGCTCTTGTTTATAAAAATTGAGAAGACGCTGATCAATAAATTACTGTGGCACTATACAACACCTTCCATCACAGCAAATATTTTTGACATTCACAACAAGGAGCCGGACAATTCACCTCCTACGTTTAATAGTTTTGCCACAACGGTGGGTAAACCACAGTGATTATGTTATGTAAAACTATTTATTCATTGTTTTTCTGCTTGATTGTTTTTAGCTAGTCCATTTGTGTACAAGACAATAAGTTCTTTTTTTTAATGTGTTTAAGGTGTCCTCCCTGGCTAATTTGGCATTTTGGCTTTCCATCGTTTTCTCACAAAGAAATTTAGAAAGAACTGTAGTTGTACTGAATATTGATACCTGGGTACAAAAGGGTTATGAATATGATTTTTGGACCATATGGATGACGTCATCACATTTAATTGCCCCAAATGTAATTATCTTTAAAGCTATAATATAGCACTTTGGTACAAGTAACTGAAATAAAAGTATGATTTTCATGTGCATAATGGTCAAAGCTACAAACGTACGCTTGCACAAATTGATATCTACTAATTACTTGTAGTTATTAGAGAATAACTAAATTTTAATTAGGCAATTAGGTTATTCTCTAATAACTACGGATAATTAGTAGATATCAATTTGTGCAAACGTACGTTAAACAACTTTGTAGCTTTGACCATTATGCACATGAAAATCATACTTTTATTTCAGTTACTTGTACCAAAGTGCTATATTATAGCTTTAAAGATAATTACATTTGAGGCAATAAAATGTGATGACGTCATCCATGTGGTCCAAAAAATCATATTCATAACCCTTTTGTATCCAGGTATCAATATTCAGTACAACTATAGTTCTTTCTAAATTTCTTTGTGAGAAGATGATGGAAAGCTCAAATGCCAAATTAGCCAGGGAGGACACCTTAATTGCATGGTTTGTGGATCTGTGAAATTTTGATTGGCACTTTCGTTCAATTGCATCCATCAACAGTCAGGAAGTGGTTCTGGAAAACGTTCTTCAGCAACAAGTCAGTGCACCGTCTACCAGCTTAGAAATCGTGACTACACCGAGCCGGCATTCCAACTGGCCATTTCGGTAGAAGATGACAGAAGTGAGGTGGAAGTATCGTACAGCGTCGGCTCATTTCAAGGAGGAAGTGACTTGGCTAAAGATGAAGTACTGGGAGGCCCTTCGGCTGTTGTTGAGCAGGTAATTCAAATCATTTTGCAAACAATCACGTGATATCACCCTCCATAATAACTGAGGACTAAACTACAAAATATGTAGAATGTTGTTTGCTTTTTTTGCAGTTGGTGCCTGTGCATGTACAATGTACATGTACGTCGATGAAGGTTAGACATCCAGGTAATACGATACGCCAAAGAGTAGTTACTCAAGCAACAGGAGCTTTCAGACTAAATTGCATCATCTTGTCTTGACTTGTCTGACTTTTGTTCCTTTTTCAACTTCCAAAAATTTGTCTTCACTTTATTTGCATATCAATTAATAGGTTGTGCTCATAAACCTGCATTTCCCCTCTGGTCTCTCAGTCACTGACGAAAGCTAGTGGATACTAGCTGAAACGTCTGACGTATTCAAAATCATATCCAGTTGCTTGAGTAACTATTTTTTTGCGCAATGTACATGTACATTGTATATGGGATGTCCAATACAGCTAGACTATGATCTGGACCATGCTCCCATATATGTTATTTTTACAGGTTTTGCCAGGTCGTATTCCACTGTACTTCACTGTCAAAGGTACCAATTCAGCAGGAGGAACAGCCAGTGTGACCTGCCAGCTCTCCTCCTATGACACAACCCCTCCTGCAGGCAGGGTGATTCCTGACTTCTTCACCACCAGCCATCCCAATGTGTTAAAGGCATCTGCTATGGCAGTGGATGAAACACCTCTGGTTGAGAGAAAGGTAGAGAATATACATTGTACGCTAAATACAATGCTCTCCTCTATTGGTCAACAGTATGTATTAGAATATACATTTTGGTGTATACTAGTAATAGATACAGTTTAAAAGCTGTAACATTTCCTAGACTTTGTACTAGTCTTGTAGAGGGGAAGATTTAATCAAATTATCATCAATTAATGAAAAACACTGATGACTGGCTATATTTTAAGCAGTGTCCATATTTTCGGAGCCAATTTTTCCTTTTTTGATGTTGGATGGCATGAATTTCATGTAATGTATGTGCAAAATTTAATGTATGTGCAAATTGTGTATTGTATGCCAAACAACATTCCAGGTCACAGCGCGGGTGTTTGCTCCCATTCTTTCAAATTGTTTTGAAATGTTTGGAACCATTTCTAAGAGAATTTCATAGTTTTCAAGCATTTCGAACTTGGTTTTAACTTTGTACACGGTTTCCCCAGATCATAAAACATTCAAAACATTCTAGAAGCCATGTACAGATGACTAACCTTCATCAACGTACATGTAATGTGTGCTGTACTTTGCTGAGACATATTGTTGAGGGATCCAGATCTGTAGAAAAGATAATAGCAGGCATTTCTTCTCACCATGTTAGGAGGCCATTGGTTTTGGCCGTGGCATCTATGGTGACCAGGCCTTTCCTTGGTCTGACATCTCATCCAGACCACTCAGATCTTCGACAAAGAGTGTAGAGACAAGTCTTCTGCAATTCACATCTCCTCGGCTTGGCAAGTTGATGTCAAAACCTCACCAAGTCAAACTAGGGCATGCGACTCCTGGAAAATGTGCTTCAGCCTGTTTAGCACTTCCTCCACTGAAATGCATCAGCTTCAACTATGACTATGGTACAAGTGGACAGTGTGAGCTATTGGAAGAAGTTGAGGGCCATGGAGTAAAGATACACATTGTAAGTTAACTAATATCTGCAAAATGCATGCATCATAATTCCGGCACATTATTTTTATATAATGGTATCATGATACTTTTATGCATTATGAACATGTACAGTATACAATTGATGGCATTAATTAAACATTAAAAAGTTAATGGAGGGTTTTGGGTGGATTTTTGTCCACAGGCTGGGCACTTCCACTATTTTGAACGACTGGGGATTGGCCATGCAGTGACTTTCAACCACAGAGATCTTCATCTGCAACATGGCCAACTGTACTACTTCAACTACTACCTAAAGAACCAGCTTGGTATGTGTGGAGATTGCTATACTATTATCAATGTTGTATAATACATGATTGTGTGTATTATCACTTGTGATAACCTTATCCAACCATACAAGAAAAACTGTGTGAGCAGGGACAGGCATGGATGTGTGAATGTTGTTCAGCACCAGGGACAGGCATGGATGTGTGAATGCTGTTCAGACCCAGGGACAGGGATGGATGTGTGACTGTTGTTCAGCACCAGGGACAGGCATGGATGTGTGAATGTTGTTCAGCAACAGGGACAGGGATGGATGTGTGAATGTTGTTCAGCACCAGGGACAGGCATGGATGTGTGAATGTTGTTCAGCACCAGGGACAGGCATGGATGTGTGAATGTTGTTCAGCACCAGGGACAGGGATGCATGTGTGAGTGTTGTTCAGCACCATGGACAGGCCATGTAGCCATGTAGCGTTGTATAGTAATGTTTTATACGTACAGTTACTGTTTGCAATTCTTTGAATTATTGATGTTCTGTTGTTAGGTTACACCAACATCCTGACCTCTCAACCGGTGAAGGTAGACTTTACCCCAGTCAGCCCCGGACCCATACAGAATGCACATTATGATGAAACTGTCAAGGAGCCGTGTCATGAACTTCTTCCTGACAAGTGGGAGAACAGATGTGTGGATGAATCGAACCTGCCAAACCACAGGTGCATTTAGCAGTCCAAACATTACAAAATTTTACATTGATGCATAATTTTCTTTCCTGATGCTTGAAAATACAGATGTAGAGTAACTGTTTTACAACGTACAACGTACAACGTACACTATTTTATCAGTAATTGTTTGTTTTTTGCTTAGGCCACACCAATTTAATTTCTTGGTTAATGAATTTTTCTAGAAAAATAATGGAGCGGGCGGGCTAAAAAATAATAAAAGCAGGCCTAGGCTTCCTATTATGGCCCAAAAGATATGATAGGCGCCATGAAGTTAACACACCAGGCTGGTTCAAAATTTAAACAATGAATTTTGAACTTTTAATGATACCACTGCATTGAAAGATGGAATAACTGTAACATATAGGAAGAAAAGGACTGTTTTCAACTGTTCAGGGCATATATGAGCATTTTGCAGTTGATTCTGAATTTTTATTTTTTGCAAATCAGAAAAAAATGAAGCGGGCGAATCCGTTAACCAAGAAATTAAATTGGTGTGGCCGTATCCATGATAAAACTGCATGACACCAGCCAGGCACAACTATAATTAAACACTACATTGTCTTGAATTTTCAAAAAATTAAGGTTTTGAAATTGTATTCCTACAAGCATTTATCAACACTGGTTTCACGAATCTTCATTAGTAGTGGACATACGTTTTTCTTCAAAGGTACATCATTGATGGAGAGGGGTCCGCTACTGTTTTCAATGGCCACACTCCATTTGTAGATGTCTTGTACACACGTGCCAACAAGTATGTGTCAGGTAAGCAAAAAGATACATTATACAATGCAAATAAAATCAGAACAAGAATTCCGAGACTTCATACCTCCATGAAATATGGGCTTGATATGTAAATGTAAATTTCCTCTTTAATTATGCATCGCGATGTATGTTAACTTAACTTACAGATGTCCCAAGTATGACATTCCCATTATTCACCATTAAGAAATCATAGAATTTTTGCATAAATTATTCAAATTAGGTCATCATTTGCATAATTAGTATCTGTTGATGTTCTGCCTGCCATAGGTTACATACATTACATGTATGATAGTAGTATAATGTAAAACACTGTAATCATAGAATTTCCTCATTTATTATGCAAATAAAGTCCTCATTTTCATAATTTGCATTTAATCATGTACATCTCTCTCTCAGCTACCTACACACCAAAAATTATGAAAATATGTTGTTCCTATCTGGACTTATTGGCTTTTAAACATTTCACCAGAAAGTGCCCTGCAGTTCCAGAACAAGCTGCTAGGGGGACCAAACTCACATCACTTATTTCTGACAGGAAAAGCAATCTGTCACCAAAACATCAAGACCATAGCGTGTTCAGGACAAAAGATACAAAAACCGGAAGTTCTGCTGCAGTACCAAGGTCATCCACCAGGAGTCCCATATTTAACCTTGACGTTTGTCTTCCTGAGACTTACCAACATACCAAATATCATCATAATCCATAAAGGCGTTCTGAAGTTATGCTGACCACAAAGTTGCGGAAACACACACAGACACACACACAGACAGACATACATACATACAGACAGACACACTCAAAACAATACCTCCATTTTTCATGGAGGTAATGAGCTTCAGTATATATTTTTTTCATATGCATGTTTGTGAATGAGCAATAGGATAGTGTACAGATTTGTACAGAGACCAATGATCTTTCCTTTTTTCAGCGAACTGGGATGGCTTCCATGATTATGAAACAGGGATCTATGGCTACACCTGGTCTGTGGGAACGGAGAAGTGTTTGGAGAACATCCATCCTCACAAGGACCCCCATGCTCACCTGTTTGATGAGTCAGAATGGACTCATACTGGACTTGCTCACCCTCTGGACCTGGAAGGTACCAGTTATTTACACATATTAATATGCATGGTACAATGTATCTTTTTTTGTACCTTTCTGAGAAGTGAATTGAACTGATAATTAAACAAATGAGACTATGATTTGATGATATGATTCTTCTGTTATACAATGAATGACACTCAGCTCTGCCTTTTGTCTTTCATGCAGTATGTATTTAGTAATATATGTATTTCTGTGTTTCCACATACTGAAGCCAGCATACATGTTACTCAGGCCACACCAATTTAATTTGTTGGTTCTCGGATTCGCCTCTTCATTTTTTTCTGATTTGCAAAAAAAAAAAGATTCTGGTTCTGAATCAACTCAAAAATGCTCATATTTTGCCCCCAACAGTTGTGGAAAGTCCTTTTCTTCCTAGCTGTTGCAGTGTTTCCATCTATCAATGCAGTGGTTTGATTAAAATTTCAAAATTCATTGTTTAAATATTAACACAACCTTTTGTGTTGACTTCATGGCTCCTATCATAGCATTTGGGGCTATAATAGGATGCCTAAACCTGTTTTTTTTATATATTTTTTTCGCCCTGTCGCTTCATGTTTTTTCTGACAAAATCCGAGAACCAACAAATTAAATTGGTGTGGCCTCAAGAAGCAAGAATAAATAAATAGATAAATATTAAATAAAGGTATCTGTATCAGTTGGTATAACTACCCTTCAGCGTAACACACCACAAATACGATATTTTTCTATTGAACAGGAGGTTGATTTAGTCACCTTCTCATCATAGACATATTAGCTACTTTTGTTGTCATGACTTCTAAAACTTTAATGTGATACTCTTGCAGATGGCCTTTACTACGTTTCTGTCCGTGCCATAAACAAAGTTGAGTATGGCGGACCTCTGGCTACAACCGTTTGCCACTCAACTCCATATGCCATTGACAACACGGAGCCCCTTATACATGAAGTGTTTGAAATGTTATACGATGAGGAAACACATGTCATATTGGCATCATACAATGTTAGGTGAGAGTGATGGTCTCTTATCATGTACATTTGAATTGTAAAAGACCCAATATTTTTCTTGCTGGTTCAAATTCCTGTTATGGATCATTCTGTATCTGCATACAGCTAGTATAACCCCCTTTGACGTAACACACCAGCTTCACAGGCACGCCGGGCTGTAACGGATTTGTAACGGATAACGTTACATGAAATATTAAGTCATGATAGAATCGTTTTTAAGTGAATTGTTTTTAAAGGAAAATGATTTGTTTCATATTATGACTGTCTCTGTTATAACACTGCTGACGAAATTTAATGAATGTTACTTTTGAATATTTGTAAGGAACCTGCAATTCAGCCAAGAGGCTTTGAGAGAGATTATTATTTTGAATAAACCATTCATTCATTCAATAAAAAGTCAGTCTATATTTTACTATCCATAGCTGTACCAACAGCTTTTTTTATGATTAGCTATATTAGATCAGGTCACTTACATGTAGCTTCTATCCTTGTGTTAAATTTGGATACTGTCTTTTCTTATGGCTGATATAGTGACCCACTCTCCAATATCAAAGAGATGCACATTGGACTTGGCAAAAGCACCAGGGACACCTACATCCTGGACTGGTTTGTGCACGATGATGCTGATTCAGTAGAGTTCACTCACCACATCCCAGATGGTGAACCAACATGGTTACGTATCCGTGCAGTCAACAATGGTAAAATAAAAATACATATCTTTAATAAGAAATCTATTGTGAATAATTAAAAGATTGTCTCCAATGTTGTGTGTGGTTACAAACCAAAATCTAAAAGATTTATAAATGACATTTTTGTTGCATTATATTATCCCACTTTTTCATTAAAATCTATCATGGCCAAAAGTATTTTACAAATTGTGTAGTGTCTTTTGCTATGATTAACCAGTGGTGTGACAGACATAAAATACAAATAAGCTTAACATCATGCAAAGTATGAGGTTGAGAGTAGTCATCTCAGTGTTCTAATACAATTATTACTATAATTATTAATTTACATTTCTCATGAAGTTTATCATATACATGAACGTTGGCAAATACTTCAGACCATAATTACTGTAACAGTAATCAGAATATAGATTTCATCTATGATATTAGCAAGCCATGCATTGTTCAGCATCCTATTTTGGTCTTTCTTTTTCAGTTGATCTGCGGACAGCTGGTCATGGGCCCTACCCCATCCTGGTCGATACCACACCCCCTCTCGCTGGAGACGTGTATGATGGAAGAAGTCACGGTCGACAAGTGAACTTCCAGTCCAGTCAGAGTGAAATATGCGCAAACTGGGAAAATTTTTGGGATCCAGACACAGGGATAGGTGATTATTGCGAAGTGTCCATCTGTAATCATGGAAGTGTGCCCTAAAGATACCAGCTTTATTTCTGTCAAGTTAGAACTTTAATCATAATCTTTCTTTCCATGGTGGTGTGGGTGGTGCAACTGTTAGAGCGTTGGACTCTGAAACAATAGGTCCCGGGTTCGATACAGTGGCCTGCTGTTATATGCCCTTGGGAAAGGCACTTTAAACAACTTCCCCACCTATAGAGTGGAGTACTGCCCACCGAGCCTCTTAGGCTAATCTGTCTAACTGTGTGCCAAAAACACACTACGGATTTTGTGCGCCAAGGTGTCAACATCAACATATTTGCCACCGAGAGCCATTAATTTTTTTTTTCTTTTCCCAGCTGACTACTTGTGGGGTGTAGGAACATCTCCTGGAGACGATGATGTTGTGGAGTTCAAACGTCTTCGGCACTTCGTCTTTTTGCATTGTGACAACTCCGTAAACCTAACTCACAATGCAACATACTATTCAACACTGTATGCGTTTAACAGAGGGCATAAACGACTCAATGTATCAGCCAACAGTGAAGGAGGTAAAGTAATCTGTGTACTATACATGTTATTTTTTATCAATATTCATTTCTGATTTCTTTGATACTGTCGATAAGGTATAAAGTTTGAAAGCATTCAGTATAATACTTGCCAGCCCTGAATACTTACTAATAGTAAATATTATACAGAAAGAAACAACAGTGACACAATGTAAACTCAGACACTGAATGATATGTATTTACATCTGTATGGCCAGTATAACCGCCCCTCAGCATAACACAGTCTAGCTTCGCAGGCACACGGCACGGCGGCATCTGGCCATATATTACACTGAACGAATTAACTTGTTACATTTAACCTTTGAATATCTATCTCTAAACATTGCAGTACGGGTAGACCTTACTCCCCCAGAGGCTGGTTGGTTGAAAGATGGAGACACCATCGGCCAAGACCTTAAATACTCCTCCAGTCCTGCCACAGTGTCAGGGAACTGGGGAGGGTTTACAGATCCAGAGTCTGGCATCCAGCAGTACACCATCGCAGTTCTCAGAAAACCAAAACACCAAGGTATGAAAAAGTATAATTTTGAATTTATATTTTGTTGTTTTACATGTACCATACATAAAACTTAATTTTAACCCTTGTCCTGCTGTGCGCAACATATGTCGCGCGGCACATACAGTACCATCTATATAACACCCTGTATAGGTACGATTTGGGGGTATTTCTCGTGCAACGCATCACACCGCAGCGAAACGCAACGAATGCGGAAGTAACTATGCCACTGCAGGGCAAAAAAAATTGGGGGTCTATGATCTAATTAAGACATGAAATTATTGAAAAATATTGTGCCAGGAATGCCAGCAGGACAAGGGTTAATAAATAAAATTTATGATTAGCAGTACACCATCGCAGTTCTCAGAAAACCAAAACACCAAGGTATAAAAAAGTATAATAATTATTTTGAATTTATATTTTGTTGTTTTACATGTACCATACATAAAACTTAATTTTAATGAATAAAATTTATGATATGTTTTTTTTTTAATTTCCTTTTTATGAAAGGGGTGGGAGTGATTGTTTGCCAAAGTGCTGTGCAAATTTTAAAGGCCTTATTACCGCATCAACTTGTCTGTGCTTACAAAAATACTCAAGGCTGTCTGCTGACACAGAGTAATATAATTATATATTACATTACCAGGTGTCTGGCTCTGTCACTAGTAAGTTATGATTGATACAATGTTGCATAACAAGGCAGATTAACTGAATAATTGCTCTTTATTCGAAAGCAATAAAAAGAGGTTGGAAGGTAGCAAACTTAAGACAGTGGAGTAACTTAATTAAAGAATCAGCATAACCTCCACATGCTCTGTTTATCATAGTTGAAGATGAGGTCATTCACGCGAGTGAGTCGGTCGGAATGACGACGAGTTTCCGCTGGCATCATTTCCACCTTCACCAGGGAGACCAGGTGTTTGTCAACCTCAATGTCACCAACAGGGCCCTGGGAGTAACAACCCTACAGTCAGACGGGTTTGTACTCGACCTAACTCCACCAGTCCTGAAGTACCTTCGTGATGGCTTGGACCCTGACAAAGATGCACAGTATTCAGTAAGTTTTGTGTGTCATTTCAGTGAGTTATGGAACTTGGCAATTACTGTTGAATTGTGTTTTGTGTCAGAAATGCTAAACAACATAATTTTCATGAAAAATTTAAACTGTTTTCCAACTCATAAATTTGACTCACCGGAATTTTCGACTGAATCACTCAGTCTTCCTCAGCTACATGTATCTGACCCAAATGCTGTGGACACGTGATTTTTCCCACGTGGGTCAGCAAAGGGTCAAAGGTTGTCTGAAGTCGATATCGCCCCCCGTCCCGGTTGAGCATTGGTTGAAGTGCCCTGATGTATATGGCCTCTTTTATGCCTCTCTTGAAGTAATCCTGTTTGGTATCCAAGATTCTAACCCCCTCCAGATCCACTGTGTGTCCCGGTGATTCTATGTGGATGTGCTGTGACACCTCAGATGCAACAGAACTGGGACAGTTTGAATTTTTCATAATGTAATTTACCAACTCAGATTAACTTTCATGCTAAAATAATTTTTCTTTGAACATTAGTCGAGTACAACAGAGTTGACAGCAAACTGGAAGTTTGTGGATGAAGAAACAGGTGTGGACTACATTGAGCTACAGGTGTACCAAAAACATGGTGGTACCAGGAGCCCACTTGGAGAAAGGTTTGTGTGGACATCCCTGTATAGGAAGGAAATGTTCAATGATTATGTAAATTGTAAGATGAGAAAGGAACAAAAAGGGGAAATGATGAACAGTCGTGTTAGTACATTGTTGCATCTATTGGTTACCATTCTATTGGAGCTTAGTATAGTGTATTAACTATAATTCAGCTTGACATGCCCCTGCTGTCTAAATGTACTTGTGGCATTAAATAATAATAATAATAACCTTTATTGTAAATTCATGCCCTATCGGGCTAAGTACAGGTGAACAGAAGAAATACTAATATACATGTTTGTAGTATAGACAGCTCTAAAAGTACTCTGGTGTGTTATGCCGAAAGGCGGTTATACCGGCTATACAGATACAGATACAGATACTCTAATACAAAGGTTCGACTTCTTCTCGTTTCTTAGTGATGTTAAAAATATAATTTGAAATGGGTTTGTATAGTACAGGATGATCAAAGCGCATAAGAAAGATAAATTTTTCAATATTAGACAAGTATTGGAAGTATGGAAACGTACTTGTAATATATGTAAAAAGATCATTTCTTTCATTATTATATATTTATTAATTAAACTACAATCAATAACAAAGTGGGCTTCATCTTCTACTTTATTTGAGCTACAAAATTGACAAATCCTTTGCTCCAGAGGTGTTCGGTTGCCTTCCTGTTTCGATGCTGAGTTTATGACAGCTGATTCGTAGTTTGGTGATGGTGGTTCTTTGACTTTCGTTTTCGTTTAGGTTAATGTTCTTCAGTATAAGTAGATTTGAATAGTCTGTACGAGCGCAGTTTGTTCTTTGCGTTTTTGGATTTGTTGTCATTATGAATTTCGCGTAGGAATTTTTGAAAGTAAATTTCTTTTAAACATTGGTGAATGGACGAGATGGTTGCGTGCACTTTTGAAGCAATTGATTCGGGAGAATGCCAAACAAAGGCATAACCGCATAAATATAAAGATTGCCACAGATCAAAATGGATAAGGACATGTACTTTAGAGTATGGGTAGCAGCATTAACGTTATACACAGTTGAACACAGTACAGTATATTGTGGCAAGTAACAGTATTATAAAGCTTATCGTCACTTTTTAAAATGTATTTTATGTCCTAATTTCTATAATTCCAGTGTTACTCTTGATGGAGCAGCACAGAACTGGACATCAACTGAAGCTCTGAGTCTGAATATCGGTGCCCTCTACACCGTCAAAGTACACGCCATCAACGCAGCTGGACTGACAGCAGTTCATGAGACTGACGGTGTTCTGATCGACCCTACACCTCCTGAGGTAAGGCCACACCAATTTAATTTCTTGGTTAACGGATTTTTCTAGAAAAATAACGGAGCGGGCGGGCGAAAAAATAATAATAAAAACAGGTACCAAATGGTACGATATAGGAGCCATGAAGTCAACACACCAGGCTGGTTCAAAATTTAAACAATGAATTTTGAACTTTTAATGATTGCATTGAAAGATGGAATAATTGTAACAACTAGGACGAAAAGGACTATTTTCAACTGTTCAGGGCAAAATATGAGTATTTTGTAGTAGTGAATCCGTTAACCAAGAAATTAAATTGGTGTGGCCTAATGCATGAAAAACAAGTTGTAAATTTCTGTTCTGTGGACAAAAGTACCTGAAAACAATGATTTTACAGTCAATGATTGTACAGTCAAATTTAGTTTACACTCATCCAACTAGTAATTTCACCTTTTTCATCATACATGTACTGTACAATCATCACCTACATGATTCAAGTCCATTTTTATAGTGAAACAAAAACACACTGTTCAATGCAATAAAATACATGCACTGTAACATTGCTTTGTGTTTCCACTATGTTAAAAAAAACAATGTTGATTTTGGATTCACAGATATTGTTTATCCATGCTGGAGTCCTCTCCGGAATGGATGATGAGGAGCTGACCAACGGTTTTGTCGTCATCGCAAATACGGGAACCCTCACTGCCAGTTGGTTGGGTCTTGACGGGGAAAGTGGAATTGATTCCTACTGGATAGGATTGGGAACTACACATGGTGAGTTGGTGGCCTCATTCAATGGCAGCCAGCACCTTCATACAATATAAAAAATGAGTTTTCAAATACGGTAACTGTATTTTATGTTGATCCTTGGTGCTGAACACCATCAACACATAGGCAATCAGACCTGTCCTTGGTGCTGAACACTATCCACACACAGGCAAACAGACCTGTCCTGATAGTGTTCAGCACCAAGGACAGGTCTGTTTGCCTGTGTGTGGATAGTGTTCAGCACCAAGGACAGGTCTGATTGCCTATGTGTTGATGGTGTTCAGCACCAAGGACAAGCTTTATGTTATACACAGGGGGAGACGATGTATTGGGATTCTACAGTGTTGGTGAAGTAACAGACATCATTCTAACAGAGCTTCCTCTCCAACTTTTCGAAAACGGGTCACCGATCTACTACATCTCTGTTAAGGCACAGAACGGTGCTGGGGCCTTCTCTACTACAGTGACAGCAAGGTAAAATGTAGTCTACTTTTCCTTTAATGTCAGCACATTGGATAGGAGACTTTGTGATCTAAGTCATCCTGTTATCATTTGTTGAAACTATGTCTTCCAGCCAGCATTATCACGGTTATTACTTAATATATGTTAATAACCTATAATAATTGACATATCCTTTATCTATGCAAGTAATGTCAGTGCCCACGTTGTCTCATTGATAAGCAAATACACTACCATTTGATGTGAATTGACTGTCATAGACTGTACTGTTCCTCCATTATGATCTGCCATTTTCGGTCAAAGTTAGATTTCAAAATTCCTTCAATCTACAAAATAGCATATGATTTTTTCATTTGTGCTTTCTTTTCTTTCTCACCAGTCCTATTAAGGTTGTTGCCGCTGATGTGAGTGGACTAGTGTTTGACGGCGCTGGATCCAGTGATCTAACTCAAATGGCATCAACAGCAATAGATGTAGATTACCAGTTGGAAGCCACCACAGTTAGTCTGCAGTTTGAAGGGTACGAGAGCGCTCAACACGGCATCATTGGCTACGAGTGGGGAGTGGGGACCATTCCTGGTGCAGACGACATCCAGCCTTTTACAGACATGGGAATTGTGGCATTTGATGGTAAGATATAAGTTAACTTGATGTCTAATCGAAAGAAATGTTGTCCTTGTCACTATGGCTGCATATGAACAAACTGACACATCAAGTACTTCTTATATAATAAAATAACCCCTGGGCCAGAAACTTATATTTTATATGTCAGACCTGAAAACTGTTGCTTCATGTGCGATAGCTACTCTAACTTACTGTGTGCTATGAGAATCAGATTTTGATGCAGTGGTTTGTTATACTGCAAGTATATCCATTTTTTTCGTTTTAATATTTGTTTCAACAGAGCCTGCTGGAAGTGGAATTGCTCAGATTCTGCTACCGCTGTCTTCATCCAACCGCTATTTCTCCAGCGTCAGGGCAATAACTGGAGCATTGAACATCCTAGAGTCAACATCAGATGGCTTTGGTGTCGACCAATCGGCTCCTAGCGTTTCGATCGTCTCAGTTGGCGAGGATGAGGACGATTCTGGAAACAAGCCACTGGGACGTGATACAGTTTACCAGGCGATAAACACTGGCAGCTTGGCTGCAGAATGGAACATCGGAGACAACGAGAGCGCCATCGCGGCGGCGTGGTTCGCTATCGGGTTCACTCCAATCAGTAGTGACCTGTACAACATCACCAACACGAACAAGAGAACCAGCCTCGCAGCTGGCCTGCTGATACCCTCGGCTGATGGCACTCCAAATATGGTCACTGTAACTGCAATGAACAATGTAAGTGTCATGAAGTTTCTAAAGGTTTGTCAATCTGTGTTTTATTATCTTCGTCAGAAGGACTATGAAATTGTCTCGCCGCATTGTGGGGACTGCGGATTTAGCGATATAACTCTGGCAGGCATGATTCGACGTCCATGATTTTTGGCAGGCAGATTACCGTCGTTAAGGCCAAAGTCAAGTGCAAGTTTCGGCTTCGTGGGGGGTCTGAACGTTATGTTAGTGCACCTTTTGTGTTTGTGGCTTGTGAGCAAAATATCTCTGACGAAGACATGAGATCTCCGACCTCTAGTGATAGTTATAATTGTGATGCTAAACTGATAGTATTTAGATAAAAGTTTCTGATTTGAAGTGATTGTGTACAGTTTTGATGATGATGAACTACACATGATGATATTGTAACTGAGAGTCATCCTCCTTATTTTTTTTTTTTTTACTTCTACAGGTTGGGCTGGTATCTTCGGATGTTTCTCCCCCAATTATTTTTGATGAGACTCCACCAGAACGTGTGACTGTTGCATGTCCTAAGCACATATCGGGTGACGTGCCATTCACGTGTAGCTGGGACGGCATCAATGACCAGGAGAGCGGTGTACAACATTACATCTTCAGCCTGGGAATCAGTGCAGGGGACGATTCTGTTGTCAACACCACGACCATCTATCCGCCAACGAATCATTTGAGCATAATGGGTGAGATTCATTGTATGATGCACTGCACTCCTGAATGTTTCCTTCCAGTCTGTCCTAACCAATGCAGTTACTGACTGTCATGAACCAGTCTCTCCTAATAAAATTTTGCCACTCATCAATATTAGGCCCCAAACACTTATAAGAGCTTTCTCTTATTTTCATCACCTTTCACACAAAGCTGGAGACTTTTACCTTTAGTTAGTAACCTGCATTTATTATACTGAATTGATCAAAACTAAAAGGTCTTTTTATGTTTTATTGTGTTAATACAGTAGTACAATTTGGTTCATACCGACGAAAATTGTTACAACATATTACATGTAAGACCAATATAACACTACCTCATACAAAGACAGAGATATTCTATATGTTACTATCATGCCCTGTCAACATTTCCACTTATGTAGGCCAATTTGTACACAATTCAATGACAAAATGAGAAAACTTAATTAATTCCTGACACAATTTATTACTACATTGTATTGATAGAGTTAGATTAGTATAATTAGTGTCTCTCTTTTGCTATACATTGTTTATGAAGCAGACCAGATTCCTATTACAGTTAGTAGAACTGTTAGATATTCTCAACACCACCATATGTGTATGTTAATACCACAAACTATGTACATGTATGTATCATTTTGCCATACGTTGTACTCGCTACATCTGTTGCGCAATAAAGTTCTTCTTCTGTTGGACATAGATTGATAACATTGTCTTGTCTTTTCTACCCATGACATAGGTTTGAACCAGAGTTTCCTTCAGCAAGGAGCAACATTCTATGCCACAGTGATAGCAGTGAACAGGGCAGACCTTCACAGCATCAGCTACTCCAGTGCTATTCATGTTGACACAACTCCACCAGTACCCGGAGTAGTTGTTGAAGTCAATGACAATGTGACATTTAGTGGCAATCTCAGAGCTGCAGTTTGCAATACTGAAGAGGGTACAAACAATCTTTTATATCCATTCACCTACCTTTGTTTAATGTTTCAATTCATAAATCATATTAGCCAGTTGCAATTTCTATAATTATGATATAATATAGCAATACCTGACAGTGTACAGTTGAAATTCTATCTAGGCTTGTACAGAATCATTTTTCAAAGATCATTTGAACATGTACAAACATTTTTTATATGAAATTTGTTGCAGATAGTTATTGTAAGGTACTGATCTTGTTACAGTTGCACTTTTAGAAATAAATATTCATTTCTAAATGTACATGTACAGTCGAATAATACATTTAAAAATTGTATTTCCAGAGTGCCATGCGATTGATGCAGTATGCCAGATGTCTGTAGATCACATACATGTTGCTTGGGAGTCCTTCCATGATCCTGAAACAGGCATTGCAAGGTAAGGTGACAGAGACCGCAATATCCACTGCAATATCCACCATGTCCAGCTTAATCATCTTGTAAAATTTTGCTTTAAAATAACCCGACTGTTCTTTATCTACTGAATGCTTATTCATCAATATTCTTGACTATTCTTCTTACATGAAAGTGGTCCATTTTCATCTTTTTGCTAAAGCACTTATGTAATACTCATAGATGTTATACTGTTCTCAAGACTAATTTATTTTCATACAGATATGAAGTTGCAATTGGGACAGCTTCAGGAAGGAGGGATCTGCAAGATTTCACGGAGGTGCTCTCTGGAATGACATCCTATGTGTTCACCCAACTTGATCTGCTAAGTGTGGGTCAGGTATTCGCCACTGTCCGGGGCTACAATGGAGCAGGGCAGTTTGCCCTTGCCTTGTCCAACGGCGTTTTCATCAGTAGACTATCTGCAGGTCTTCAGCCTTTGGGACAGCAGTTTGTGTATGATGGAGACAAGAGAGACACAGACATGTAAGATTGATAATATACAAAGTTTGTAGTAGTTTTGTTTTGAATATATAATTCTGTCAAATTAATCTAAGTTCATGAAGATAGTAGAGTTCTCTAATATGTATATCGCAATGTTCATCTGCATAGCTGGTATAACCGCCCCTCGGCATAACACACAAGATTTGCAGGCATGCAGCTTGGCGGCAGCTGGCTGCATTACACCGAACAACTTGTTACACCTAACCCCTGAACATGTATCTCTAAACATCGTTTAAAGCTAATAATAATGCCCCTACTGTACTTGGTGACAGCGAGTTCCACTCTGCAATAATTCTAACAAATAATGAGTTCAGTGATAGTTTTTAGACTAAGTTATGTACTGAAATCGTATATCAAAAGGATGACTTTATTTCTTGCAGGGATTTTCAAGCTTCCAGTGAGCAGTTATCGGCTAGTTGGAGCTTTGGCGACCCATGTCCTATGGTCAAGTATGATTGGTCGATACACCGCATGGATGGTGTGGAGATTCAACCCTTCACCACTCTTCCCGGAGGTATGATTGTTTGTTTGTTTATTTGCACAACAGCAATAAAAATTATACATAATACACTAATAATAAATAAAACAGGTGCAGGAGGAGGGGGAAAAGCTTATTTAACTTATGCTAAGCCCTCCTCCTCTATACTAACCAAAACTAAACATAATTGAATTGAAATAATACATACATGCATAGGGAATTGTTATCAAAATAATTCAAACATGGGCAAAATGATACAATAACCATAATGAAACAATAGTATATATAAATTGATATGAAATGAAATTGATATGAAATAATACATACATACATAAGGAATTGTTAGCAAAATAATTCAGACATAGGCAAAATGAAACAATAACAATAATGAAACATGACTTATGTCCTCAACATATTCCTGGTTATTTTATGTATGTCAAAATCTATTAGTGTACATTCAATGGAATTTGTGCCTAATTATGTACTAGATGCATTATGATTTTGATTACAATATATCTTATTTGATCACAGATCAAACTTTTGGTGACAATAGCAACATCAAAGCAAAAGACGGGGAGTCGTTTTACGTCATTGTTCGAGGGACGAACCAACTCGGCGACAGTTTTGTTCTACGGTCGGATGGAATCAGCGTCAGAAAGGAGCCTCTCATACCTGGAGAAGTCAGAGATGGTCCAGTTCTCGGGCTGGACCAAAACTTCCAACTGTCCATCACCACACTTTCAGCAAACTGGGACCAGTTTGGCATCGACAGAGAGGTGGCCGGAGTGTTGGATGGTCAGTTGCATCATTCATTGTAGATGATTTCTTCATCCATTCCAACAGAAAAAAATACACCTAATTTTGTGTTCTTCTCTACTGTTAAAAGATACTTTTCCACATTCTTGTATATCAAGACTATTGGTCATCATAACATTCAATTTAGTCTCACGTACTAATTTTAATGACACAACAAAACGTTGCTGAATGACCATTAACCACATACATGTATATATGGATGTAAAAAAACTAGACTGCAATAGCTGTAACATACAATATCTGTTTGTTTTCAACCTTGAAGGGAACGAAAGGAGTGACTTGGAGATCAACAAGCACCAAGCCATTGATCACTATGAAGTCGCAGTCGGCTCAGATCGCCGCTATGCCAGTACCAGAAGCAACATAGTCCCGTTCACAAACGTTGGCAGAAACCGAACGGTGACAATGCTTGATCTACCTCTGACCCCCCGTGCAACTTACTACATAACTGTGCGAGGCTACAGTTTGACGACCAGTACAACAGACGTCACTTCAAATGGGATACAAGTTGGAGTCGGCTCTGAAGTGATTTCACATGGAAATGTCAACGTTGAACGGTATGAACTGTGTGATATGCGTGGCAGCACACGTTATATCTTATATATCGTACATTATATCATACCCATGCCGCGATAACGTTTGATAACGGGTGCCGTACTTTACAGAGAACGATTCGAACGCATTTTGCCATAACCGCGTGCACCGCTTTCGAAAATTGGAATACAGAAACCGGACGTTGGAATTGATGTTGTTGCATTTTAGGGTACCAACTTTTGGCTCATCTTGCATTGAAAGGCGCGTTTTCTTGGGTGGGTATGACATATATAAATAAAATACAACACGGTGATTTCACCCTCGGTCCCGGCCCTCGCGCGAGTCGGGCCGATACCTAGGGCGATACGGAATGCCCCGTGTTGTATTCTATATTTATTCATCTTATTAAAAAATATAGCAGATATAATTACTTCTGGGTATGGAAGTATTGTTTTGGGTGGCTGAATTGCCAGTTTGGTTGTTTCTCATCATAATTATGTTTAATGATATTAGGAACATTACATGTACTTTGTCATTTTACTTTCAGGTTCATATCTTCAACCTCAACGCTAACATTCTCATGGGAAGGATTTGAATTTTCACTGCCAGTCAGATACTACCACTGGGGACTAGGGACAGCCATGTTTGATACTGACAACATAGAGTGTTCCAAAATGGTATATTTTGATCATTACACATTTTGAGAATAATAATTCTAACTAACAACTACATGATTATGATGAGTCTACATGAAGACTAAATTCAGTGGCTCAGAGAAAAAGATCATGATTGGAATTCATGTAAGGAATTTTGAAGACATTGTCAGAAAAAAAAGATATGCTTGATGTCAGTCTAAGAATGGTTAAGACATTGGAAACGAATAGGGGTTTAGTAGCAGGGTTTCTTAGACAATAATTATTCTTGATGTGACAAACTGTCACAGTAATAAATCAGAACAATCAAGCTCATGTACCTGTCTTTCAGCATGAATTCGATGAGAGTGGTGTACTGACATCTGCCTATGCCAGCCTTTTTGACGTACACCCATTTACCAACGTGGAGAGGGACACGTTAGTTGACCTTGCCAACATGACCTTGGAGCACAAGGGTACATACTACGTGACCGTCATGGCTTCAGATGAAAGTCTCCAGTGTGATGTCGTCACTGCTCCCTTCACTGTGGACATTACCCCACCCAAAAAAGGGCGCATTCAAATTGGACCGTTTGCAAATCTGGTAAGTGGAAACTTCTGTTTGTAGCTTTAAGATTGATTATTACTAGTAGATAGTACATTTTGTACAGAAATGTACATTATGCAATACAAATAGCAACAGCATCTCCTGGCAATTAAGCTCTTGTCAACACAGAACAATTATGGTATCGAAAATGTACACTGTACATGTATATAATATTATGTAACTGTTACATGTATTGTCAATCACATGCTTGTTTCAAACTTTATACCATACCCGGGCCGCAATAACGTTCGATAACGGGTTCCGGACGCGGGCCTTACTTTACGGTACAGCCCGGGCTCCGTGGCTTCCATAGAACGATTCGAACGCGTTTTGCCCTAACCGCGTGCACCGCTTTTCAAAATTCAAAATACAGAATCCGGACATTAGAATTATTGATGTTGTTGCATTTAGGGTTTAGTGGCACCATGCCAACTTTTGATTCATCTTGCATTGAAAGGCGCGTTTTCTTGCATGGGTGGGTATGAGATAAATAAAATACAACACGGTGTATTCCACATCGCCCTCGGTCCAGGCCCTCACGCTTGCGGCCGTCGGGCGATCCGACCCGCGGTCGGGCCGATACCTCGGGCGATACGGAATACCCCGTGTTGTATTCTATATTTACATACAATCACCTTGTGACCCAGCCTGTTCAGTATACTGATCGTGGTGATGAGATGACCGTCCTTTGGGAGGACTTCCTGGATGAAGAGAGTGGCATCCTTCAGTATGAGATCACTTTGTTGGGCCCAGTCCAATGTGGGAACACTGCTCACAACGCCCCACAGCTGACTGAACCTGTCACTCTTAGTGCCAATTACAGCAGCTATACGTTTGTGGATTTGTTCCTCGAGGTAATCATTTATAATCTTGTAAATATTGATGTTTCAGTTGCTGAAAGTAGTGCCTTTGTGAATGATCAGAAATAATTCAATTAGTATTCATGGAAAAAGTAAAGCTGAACCTGACAAATGTCTAGAGTCACTAGAGGATAGAATACATACCTGTCCAGCATAATTGTTTTTGTTTTAACTATTTGCACAGAAAGTAGGAACTATAAAATACATCAAAGTGCATGAAATTATGGCTCTTTTATTAAGTGACAACTGTTTCTATGATAATCATTATTATATTAATTTGTTTACTTTCGATCCTTTTTTTAGGGAACTATGGTCTACTTTGTCCAACTTAATGCCGTCAACCGAGCGACAGGCTCCACCACAGTGACGTCCTCCCCAGTGTTGATTGACCCCCGTGACCCCATACCTGGGGATATCGTTGATGGAGACTCGTTCAAACGTGATGTCTCTCACCAGAGTTCCACTTCTTCCCTTCATGGTTAGTTCACAGGTTGTGAAATATAGATTGAAGATATCTTGTTAACTTTAACTGCTTCAGAATTAAAACACACCATTGATGTGCATGCACATTGCTTTTCTTTAAATGTGTTAATGTGTAACTATTATATTAAAATGAAATTCAATGTATTTTGTCAGAATGAAGGCTGTACATGTATCTGTATCTGTATAGCCGGTATAACCGCCTTTCGGCGTAACACACCAGCTTCTGTATCTGTATAGCCGGTATAACCGCCCTTCGGCGTAACACACCAGCTTCTGTATCTGTATAGCCGGTATAACCGCCCTTCGGCGTAACACACCAGCTTCTGTATCTGTATAGCCGGTATAACCGCCTTTCGGCGTTACACACCAGCTTCATAGACACGGCGCGGTGGCAGCTGGCTATATTACACCCATCGACTTGTTGCCTATCCCTTGAACATCTAACTCTAGACATTGTTTGAAGCTATCTATTGACAATGCCCTTACTGTACTTGGTGACAGCGAGTTCCACTCTGCGATAGTTCTTAGACTAGGAAAGAATGAATTCTTGAACACCTCAATCCTTGGTGTGAGCTGTGTACATAATGAGCTGATCATATGATCATCCTAGCCTATACTTGTAGCGAACCATGTCATCAGCTTGGTCATGATTATTACACTAGGCTAACATAGAAATTATTGTCACTGTGACTGTTAAGTTAGTTCATCACATTCTTAAATGTTTCGTTCGAACATTACAATCAACCTATTGCCCCAAATCAAATCATTATCAACAAGCACGGGGTCGTATGGCATAGCGGCAGAGAGCGCGACTCGGAACCTAGAGGTCCCGGGTTCGAGTCCTGACATGCCACCGATCTTGTGCCCTTGGGAAAGGCACTTTACACGACTTTCCTCGCTCAACGCGGGTGAAAATGAGTATTGTCCTGTCATGTATTTGTCTCCTGTGTTGGTGGCGGCATTAATATAAGTTGGAAAAGCTTGAGTGTGCCGTCACCACGTCTGGTGATTACATGTTGGAATAAAAAAAACATTTTTTTAAATCATTATCAAGATGCAAAATAACGGCATTGCTTTCTCCATAGGAACCTTTACACTGTACCATGGACAAGAGGCGTATCAATGCTCGTACAACCATCATGACCTGGACGCACCAACTGAAGCATGGAGTCCAGTAACATCACAGGGTGTCTGGGGAACTTCAATAGAGGCATCTCGCATCAGGTTTGCCCCTGAACAGGTTAGTTTACAATCTCTTGCCCTGTGGCATGTAAACAAGCATTTTTTTTTTATTATTGATGCCAACAATTGCAAATTGTAATTGCAAAGGGAAGCTCAGAAATTCTTCCATGGACTTATAATATCTACTTGACAAGACTGGCAATGGAAACATACTTTCCCATGGCTATGGTTGTTCATGTTAGGGTTATCGTTTACATGGCACTGACATCGTTTAATGATTTTGAGCAAGACAGATACAGATACAGCCCCGGGGTCACAGAAAGTAGGGCCATCCCTGGCAGACAGGTCTTCTGAGTCTTCCCAACGGTTTCCAGGAATGTGGGCATAGATGTGGGTCAGGGAAATGCCTGTGGACATTCCATTCCTTTGGACAAAATTCCTGTACAATTCCTAGAATTCTTGCGAATTGCACACAATACTGTACCATTAGGCTCCTCCCTGAGACGTCACCAAAAATCATTTGATCATTTGAAACATTTGGTTAACAACTCTGGAATTTTTATGCCTGTTAATCAGCTGTCCTACAGTGTTAGCAATGGCCTGACAGTGACTATGGTTCGAGATGTGCGAGCAGAAAGGATGATTTCTGGTGGCTACATGACGGTTCTGAATCATGAAGGACCAGGCATCTTTCAAGTAAGTCTCAATCATTCCATATTTACTATCGTCGTACCTTAGATCTTAGGTCCTCCTGTGCCTACAGGCACATTGGGCAGCAAGTTTCCATCTGGGTCGAGAAGCTTCTGCTTCCTCAGCCTCTTCTCAGGCAATGTTAGCCTTCTTGACTTCCTCCTGAAAGGTTCTTCGCCAGGTGTTCGCCAGCCGACCTCTCTTCCTTCTGCCCCCTGGTGGCACCCAGGTCATTATGGCCGTCTTTGAGTGGCGCTGACTTGATAGGCGTAGGATGTGGCCTGTCAGTTGTATCCTCTTGCCTGTTATATTGTCCCCCAGGGGTTGGGTCTTCGCCCTTCTGAGAATCCCCTCGTTTGTGATGTGATCTTGCCATCTTACTTTCAAGAAATCTAGCCATTAGTAAAATACATGTTTGTTATACCGGTAGACATTGTTTGATTTTGAACTGCATGGCAACCTTCTCTCCAAAGTCAATTATTATCAAACTTTTATTTCAATTTCTTCTTTTGTTTTAAATATCCAGATTGACATAGTGGCTGCAGGTTCAGAGTTAGACTCTGTTACATCTCTGGTGTTCTGGGACGGACCAGCCGGAGTAGTTGGTGGTTTTGAAATGCCAAGTGACCCTGAGGAAAGTTCCAATTTCTCAACAAGCGCCCCAACTACCACTCCAGCAACCACGCAAAATCCTTGGCAGATCGTCAATGACAATTCTGAGGAGACATCAGATGAGAATGCTGTACTACGTACCTTGCCATATACAGGGATAGGAATGGATATTTTCCATGGTAATATACAGTCATATAGCCTAAATGCATAGCATTGCCACATGCAATGTTGATATTTGTAGATATCTACAAAACTTTGCATGATGCCCATTGCTGTAATATATATTTTCTTCATGTGTAATTGTTTTATATATTGACATTTGGAGTCTGCATATAGCACACTTCCTTGTTGGGTGTAAAAGCTAGGAGACAGGGCTGTTAGCTGTTAATGATTTGCTGAACTAAAATGAAATTATTTAGTAATTTAAAAGTAACTTACAATCTAATAGCTATTCCATTTTGTACTTCATCACTTCACAGAAGTGACTGCAGAAGGAACTACAAAGTACTATATACTTCTGTGGTCAAGGTTCCAGGACGAGCGGTCAGCCTTGCAGTATGAGAAAATAGAGCTGGGGTTCGATGCATCGGAGGCATGGCACACATACGGTCTGAAATACACGGTGGACAGAACTGATGCAACACAGGTACTCAACATCACTACACAATGACTTAGCATAATTATACCATGTAAATTGTTTTTGTAAACATGTACCAATTCAACTTTACTATCAAAATTAATGTACAATGTCATGTAATGTGTATCTGCCAGGCAATGTCGACCAATGAGAAGCCTCCATTTCCCATTGGTTATCATGTGATTATGTTTATCAAGTGGTAAATAAAGAAAAAGAAAGTGGTCAGTTATTAGAATAACCGACAATTAATGTGATGGAACATTCTCTTACTATTCATCCACATGTAAGCAATCATTTTAAAGTTCTTCAATGTCTTGCAATCTAGGAATTATGGGGTTTTGAACTACACATTGATGGGGAGTACTTTACAACAATAACTGGGATCCCTCCGGTCAGTTTGTCCACGAAGTTAATTCTGGCTGTCAGAAGCAAGCAAGGGGCTGTTGCAGAATTTCATGATGTCTTCACCCCACCAACTGTGATGGCCCATTTCAAAAACCTAAGGTTAGTAGAAATATTACTAACCGCAACAGACTTGGGGTGGAGTTTATGCTGTTACACCAGCCATACAACACAAAAATACTCAGTCTGTAGTTACTCAAAATCATCATACCTTTTCTGTAGGACCCCTCCATCAGCCGAAATGTTATGTCGATACGGCACTCCATTCCAAGATGGCAGCACCACCATTTTGAAGATATACGCGGGCGTTGGTACAACGAAAGGAGCAGATGATGTTGAGCCATTCTTTGAGGTAAAGAATTAAAAATAAACTTAATCTTAGATTTCATGTAGCTCCACAACTGTTATTCAAGAAAATTCATTGACTTAATCTTGTTAAAATGTGTTACTTACAATAATATGTCTTTGAAGATTTTCTGAAATATAATCATAGATTAATGTCCAGCTGCAATTGTGGTGTCCTAAAGATGCCATGGGTTCTTATTTACATGCAGCATTGAATTAATAATTAAATCAATAATCAATCCTTTTTTCACCCTAGGTTGAAGATCTCTGCACACCTTGCATGGATGAATGCAGTAGGTACAGTTGTGACATGAACTGCACAGTTGATGACATAACGCTGCATCACGTCTTCATCAACAACCTTCATCTGTCAACTCACAAGATGATTACACAGGATAATGTCACCACGTCCACCCCTGCCCTCTACTACATCACAATAAAGGCTGTGTCAGGTAGGAGAACCATTCTTATACAATGCACAGGATTCCTACTAATAAGTACTTCTTGTTATCATATAGATTTGATAGTTATGATTATTTGACACCTCTGCAAAGTGATGTCACTGCTAACAGTGATTATTTTTTACTCAGCCGTAATTCAGTACAAGGTACCATTACATTGCAGATAAGTTTATGGACCAATGTCACTTTGTGAAAAATCATAATAAACAATAAACAAATAAATAAACAATAGTCTAATTACTCGTCATCCTTGTGTACCATGACTAATAATTCATATCAACCAGAATGTGTAAGACCGAAATTTTTGGCATCAACTTTTTCTCCTGACATATCATTGACTGCTATTTACAAAGATGTACTATGAGTCAGTATGGTATCATAATATAATTTCAGACTTGTATCTAATGTTGAATTCCTGTTTATTCCAAACCAGGATCTGGTCGTTTTGCATTGTCCTCATCAGATGGAGTATACATTGATGCAACTCCGCCAGTTTTTGAATCTTTGTACCACGTGGACCTTTCGTGGTCTGAAGATGAACCATCAGATTTCCAAGGCAGTAACAGCACCATTGCTGTTAGGTGGGAAGCGTATGACATCGAAAGCCAGGTATGTACAAAACACCATTGATGCAAAGTGTTGCAGTAAGACTTACACTCTGAAGTATCTAGAAATTGCCTCAGAGAAATTCATTTTACATTTTCCACATCTGTGCTTTTTTAGGTCGTTGGATATTTCTGGGCCATTGGTACTGCTCCATTTTGGACTGACATCCAAGACCATGTGTCCGTTGGACTAGCTACCAGTGCCAGTAACAGTCAACTGGAAGGTAGTTTGCAACCCCTTCAGACCTACTATGCAACTGTCATTGCTGTGAACGGTGCTGGATTAAATACTACAAAGAGCACAACAGGTATGAACATTTTAATTGAAGTTCTTTTTGAACATTTAAAACAAGGTCTACTCAACGTGAATTATCTTGCCTGAACCATTAGACCTTTTGCATGCACTTTCAGTTGTCGAACAGATGCTGCCAGAATGACTCAAATCTGCTCCTGAGCTCTGCTAGTCTAGTGGCAGCTAATCTAAGTAGTTAAAGCTAGGGTCACAACCCGCCGTACGTGCTTCTGCGTGCTGTCTACGTGCAAAACCGTGGGCAAACGTAGGACATCCGTGCGTGGTGAGTACTGCCTCCGTACGGAATCCTACGGATTTGGGAGCACGCAGATACGCCGTAGAACATTAAGTGCAAGTAAAACTTTTACTGCGTGCGGTCTGCGGATTCACCACCCATGCGTGCGAGTACGGGCGATGCGCGTGTCCCGTACGTACCGTACGAAAGACGCACGTGTGAGTACGGCCTCTTTACGGTAAAGTTGCAATCGCACAGAGATCGTACGTTGTAAGCACGTACAACTCACTAACCACTTGCGCAACGTACGATGCATGCAACCGCTCACGGCCAGACTTGGCGTGCAGACCACACTCTTACACCTTGCGAAACCGTGTGAGTGACGTGCGAGTGACGTGCGTCTATGCCACTCCTTCCCCACGTTTTCAGAAAAAACGTAGCAGACGTAGCTATATAGCCTCCAAAAAAACGTGTACACGGACAAAAAGCACGTACAGCGGGTTGTGACCGAGGCTTTAGCCTTCCACATGATACAAGGCCAGATGGCTACCCTTGGCAAACCATTAGTACTGAATAGTTGCTTTTAATTACTGATCAACTACTAACAGTAAAATTTCAGTAAATTTTCAGTAAATCGTCTTTTACTGTTTTACTCAAGCATTACTGGTAAGTACGTATGCCTCTATTCACTGTTCATTTACTGTCAATGGGGTATTTTAATCAATGTCTTGTTTGACCAATCAGACCATTACTGTCATCTTCTGTTCTATTTCTGGCCATAGATACTCTTACCTTGATTCAAACCTAGAAAATAGATAATACCTTGTTTCAAAGGTACTTGTACATGTTGCAGATTAATGTGAGGCAACTGCATGAAAGTTCATCTGAGTTGGTAAATTACATTATTACAACTTACAAATTGCTGACGTCACACGTGGGAAAAATCACGTGTCCACAGCATTTGGGTCAGATAGCTGAGGAGGACTGAGTGATTCAGTCGAAAATTTCTGGTGAGTAAAATTGGTGAGTTGGAGAAAAGTTTAAGTTTTTCATAAAGTGAGGCAACTGATAATACCATCTTTCAGGTGTGACCTTCCTGGAGGAATCTCCCTCATCAGAAAACATGACTATTGGAGTAGGCTGTAGAGAAGATCAAAATGATGGAAGCTCAAGCGAGGACGATGTGTCTGTCTGTCCTGGAATCAAGTCCTCTGTTGAAATATCGTGGCCTGACTTTGATGAGCGAGAAGGAATTACTGGCTACTGTATGTGAATAGTCAATATTATCCCCTATATTACAATATACTCTAAAACAGTAAATATTCAGTGTCTGTTATTATCAAATTATTATAATATCATTATACTATAAGAAGTATTATACTTTAAGAAGTACAAACTGAGATATTACTATAATTATCATTAATATTCATTTAATTTGTATATTGCTAAAAGATATATAGTCATGTGCAATATACATGGAAATTTGTACCATATAATATTATATGATGTATGTTTTATTTTGTTTCATTGTGTTGAGCAGTTGTAGCTTGAATGAAAGCAGATTTTATAATACATTAGGTGAAATATTTTGATACAAAAATATATATCATTGTAATGATTGTGTACCGGTCTTTCATCAGATTTTAGCATTGGTAGCACAGAAGAGTTGGAAGACATCATACCAGAGACACAGGTTGGCTACAATGAGTCCGGCACAGTGTTGATCGAGGATGGACAGGTGCTGATTAACGGCCAGGTCATAGCAAACATCTCGGACCTTCGACACATGCAAAATGATGACCAAAGTACTCCAGAGGTCAACAAATTCAATATGGAACCTGGCAGGTAGTTACAATTTTATGGAACCAAGGCTAGTGCTATTACTGATAACGATGATCATGATCTGTATTTACATGTTCTTGCCTACCACATAGTAGGCTAACTGCAGTAGTGCCCATCACTAATTTAAAAGCCTCAAAGTTAGAGGCGCCTGGGTCTCTCGCCCAGTTCAAATCTGAACTGGCGAGGACCCTGCTGCATTACTAACGCACTATAATGCACTTGTCCCATCTTTAGCACACACAAAATCAGTTGTTTTATGTTCCCTTCTCAGTTATCCTTGTTTTCCCTTTGTTTTTTATGTACCGGGTCACAATTGTTACTAACAATGCATAACGGCTGCCAATAATCCTACACTGTAGGGCTGGGCGGTAACAAAGAAGAAAATAAAATGTACAGTATCAGTATCAGTATAGCTGTATCTATATTCTGTAGTGTTGAACAAGTGGATCGACAAAACAGTTATATAGATATAATATAAATCTATGCTATTACTAAATCTATTGTACTTGTATACATGTTTTCATTAGGTCTATCATTTACAGGTGTAGAACGTAACTAAATGAATTGTGTTGTTGGATATTTTTACAGGAAGATGTACGTGAAAGTGAAGGCGTGTAATTCAGCCCACAAATGCAGCATTATTGATCTGAAGGTTATAGTTGTCTCACGTAAGTGCCTACAAGTCTTAAACGTATCATTTTGGAAGTTAAAGTCAGTTCACACTTCTGTACAAATTCTAAACCTGTGTTATTTCTTGCAGAATAAGAAATATTAATACTGTAGACAGCTCTCATGTATTATCATGAAAGTTCATCTGTGTTGGTAGTTACATGTTTAAAGTTAAAACTTTTGGTCCAACACAAAACATTATCTCACCTAGAGCTTTTGACCAGTCACTCTGGTCTTCCTCAGTAGACTGACCCAGTGAATCTTGAGGCTCGAAAGCTCTATAGGTGAGAGAATTTTTTGTGTTGGACCAAAATTTTTAACTTTAAACAAGTTCTCATGTATCATGCTCTTTTAATTGTCTGAAAATTTTGTTGTTATGGAGATGAAAAAAATTACCAACTGCTGTTTTCTTTTACAGGAGAAGGTGATGTAGTTGCAAAGGCTACCAACAGTAGCAAAGTGTCTGTTACACTGAACTCTTCAGGAGCTACTAGGTCTGCGAGAACCTACGTCATCAATGGAGTTAACATCGTGACTACTGGTAATAATCATATATTAAAGTACATTTCAAATTGACATTCTTTCCCGCGCCACAAATCTATCAAACATTTCCTAACACGTTGCCATGGTAAATGATATATATTGCCTAATTTGGTCAGTATTGACCACGATAAGATCCTAACAGCCCTACAGCTTCTACTGTGGATGAACAGTCCTACATGTACATACAAGAATGACAGTTTTAGCATGAAAGTTCATCTGTGTTGGTATATAACATTATGATAACAGTTAAACTTTACGTGACCAACACCAAGTAAATTGGGACTTACCCCAAATTTTTAACCGACTCCGTCGGTCTTGTTCACGGAATGGACCCTTCTACTGCAGCTTCCGGGACGTGACGTCGGAAACACGTGGTTGCAGCAGAGGGTCATAAGTGGCAGATAACCTATGACGCCCCCCGTCTCTGTTCAGTACATTCGGGCCGACCGTCCAACACTGAACAGAGACGGGGGGCGTCATAGGTTACTTGGTGTTGGTCACGTAAAGTTTTAATCTGTTATCATAAGAATGACAGTCTCTGCCACATAGTGTACATTCATAAGCTGACTCAGGTCTGTTGTTCAGTTCTGTTGTTTTTCTGGGTCTTCTCTTCTGCGCAATGCATCAGTCAAACTTCTCCTAATTTCAGATGCCATATTTATAATACATAATGTATATCATAAAGAACAGCTTGTATTGATCGAGAAAACATTAAGTTAACATGAATCAGATGTACATTGTAAATGTCTACTGTTGCAAGCATTTTGCAAGTTGCCATGATGATTAAATCTGTTCTCCCCACCATACAGGCATTACCCCCGGTGATGGTTTAGTTGCAGGGATGTTGGACAAACATGATGTTGAGGAGGAGTACGTCTCCGGTGCTTCCTCAACCTTCACTCCATTCATCGTGGATCCAGAGAGAACAAGGAACAATTCAGAAAGAAGCTTGAATGGAAGGTATGCAGGACTAGAAAAAGTCTGAAGAAAGTACCCCTTGAAAAAAAGCAATGTCATCTATCTCTTAGTCTTATTATTTGATCTTTGTACCACCACAGTGTTATTCTGTATCGGTAAATAGGCAGTATAACGGCCATTTGACATAACACACCAGCTGTCAGATTATGCAATGTAGAAGGTCTGACAACCAATTTTTTTCTCGATTTCCTCTTCTAGCTTGGAATAATGCTGTTGTGGTGGTGATAATTTTACTCCTAATTTGCAATTCTGTTGGTAGTCAATGTTGTTTATGTGACAGGTTGAGGAAATTTGAGGAGACTTTCTTCATCAGTCTTCTCCATGATAATCCGCTGACAGGACCCTTGGAGATCACCATCCCCATAAATGCAGACCTAATTCCAGAGGGAACAGTACCTGTACTACTTTACTGGAGCACTGGTAATCCTTAGTGATATAGAAGTAATGTTTCTATGAGTAAACAGAGTAAACAATAGGCAGATAGACGAGTAACGATAACAGTAGGCTGTTCCAGAAAGCCTGCAACAATCAAGGATTTTGAATTGCCCTCCATGGGTTGGCAATTTTCGTCTAACAGTGTCCAGTTTAATTCCGGAATTCCAGTTTAATTCCGGACTAATTCCCATATCTCAGCAACCTTACGTCTAGATGGGCTAATGTTGTAAGATATAGGTAAAAATGATGTAAAAAAATACGTAGTAGCCATCGGTGACCCCTTGGGAATTAACCCAATTCTGCAGAATTCTGCAAAATTCTGGCTCCAGTTCCCAGAATTGGGTTAATATGCAGAATTCTGGGAACTAGAGAATTCTGCAGAATTGGAATTCCAGAATTAAACTGGACACTGTTGTCTGAAGTACTTACATGGATGTGTTTATCACTTTCAAGTTGGAGCCACATATAACACATCACACAATACCATTTTGGACAAATAATGTAATTAGTCTCCTTGTGGATAACCATGAATGATCCACATGTGTTCCAGAGCTTCAGCAGTGGATGGATGCCTCCCGTACCTGCCCAAACCTAGACAACGTGCAATATGACTGGGAACAGAACTTGCTACATGTGAATGTGAGTAAAATTTCAGATAAGACTTTCGTTTCACCCCATTTTGTTGAATTTCTTCTAGCTGATTTTGAGAATTTCTTCTAGCTGATTGTTCTTGCTATTTTCTAGCTTATTTGAAGTTGTGGCATCATACAGTATACTGCTTCCGTCCCATGCAGGTCTGCTCGACACACCCCGCCACCAAAACATCAGAGGAAAACGTACGTCGCCGTCGTTCCAGTGAAGGAGAGTTCTACTCCGGCTCCACACAGTTTGCCGAGGCTTCAGTTGACAGTGACATAATCAACACCGCCCCTGTCGTCACATCTCCATCAGCGATGTGGATGTACGAAGATTCAGGAACTCTCAGAGCTCAACTTCAGGCTCAGGACGCAGAGGGTGATGAGTTGATTTTCTCTTTGGACGCTGAACCTGAAGAAGATATCATGGGAGAAGCTGTGCTGAGTCCTGAAGGACTACTTGAATACACACCATGCAGGCACTGTTTTGGACTTGTTAGGATTGGTTACGTTGTTCAAGAGAAACCTACAGGAGAGACGACTCCTCTGGAGGTTCGAGAGACTCTAACAATAGATGTGAGGCCGGAAAACGATAACCCAGGTTTACTCTTCCTCATAGATGGCGTCAATGTTGTGTCTGATCAAGGCACAAACACATACAGACCTGTGGAGCTTCCAGTGAAGCAGGGTGAGGAAAACAGCATGGTTGTGTGGATGTACGATGTAGATATCGCAGATGATCTGGCATTCAGCATATCTCAACCGCAGCATGGCGGCGTACAGATTGGTCCTGTGTGCAAAAACGTTACATTCCTGTCAACACCTTGCAGCATGAGCAGTACCAACAACCTCGACATAACCAGTGATGGGAACTGCACCGTTTGTAAACCAAGCAATCTGAACACAACCAAAGAAATACATGACCTGTCTTGGGCGCTAGCCAGGCTGACATATATCTCTAGAAATGAGTCTTACTTTGGGGAGGATTCATTTGCCATCCACGGTATAGACGAAAACGGTGGAGCGTCAAAGATTTTACCCATTGACGTGTTTGTGCTCCAAAAGTGCAAAAATAATGGAACGTGTATCGGACCTGCTGAGGACCCAGACTGTGAGGACACTCAACTGGCCTTTGGGTTTGAAGGCTATACCTGTGACTGTACAGAAGACTACATTGGAGAGTTTTGCCAGCTAGAAAGTAGGTTTCTTCCCTTAATTTTGCACTTAAATACATGACATTGTCAGTATTGTTTTAACAATCATCTGTTGTTGATGTCAAGAGCTTAGGCTAAGGTATTATCATCAGTCATCAATTTCCATTCTCAGTTCCCATAGCATACGGTTATATATCTTTTCTTAATCATATACTTATTAGGATTTGCCAAATCTTTTCAAGAATGAATGGTTACAAGTATCTCAAAATGAAACTAAAGAAAAATCAAGACAGTAACACTTTTCTTATTCTGTTGGAATTATTTTGAATGATTCTTTTTAAACAGCCTCATAGGGCATAATGGCAGGCATAATACATGGCCTTTTAAAAAGTTTTATTGATGTGTGCGTGTTACATGTACTTTGCAGTTGTACCGTGCTTACCACCGATGGCGCCAGCTAACGGTTCAGTCAGTCCGGACGATGCCACCTCCTACCAGGACGTTGTGGAGTTCTCGTGTGATCCTGGGTACGAGCTGGTCGGTGACTCCGCCCATGTGTGTCAGTGGGACGGCAGGTGGAACAGCAGCACACCGAACTGTAATCGTAAGTAACCGGAATGACGAGTGGAAAAACTGCCCAGTTAGTATTCCATTGGAGTCAGTGTAACCTCTGTTACCATTTATCTGTCAGGTACAGTATCTGTCCATTTGAAAAACTGTTTTAAGGCCACACCAATTTAATTTCTTGCTTAACGGATTCGCCCGCTTCATTTTTTTCTGATTTGCAAATAACAATGAAAATTCAGAATCAACTGCAAAATGCTCATATTTTGCCCTGAACAGTTGAAAACAGTCCTTTCCATCCTATTAAAGTTATTCCATCTTTCAATGCAATGATATCATTAAAAGTTACAAATTCATTGTTTAAATTTTGAACCCGCCTGGTGTGTTGACTTCATGGCTCCTATCGTACCATTTTCGGCCATAATAGGATGCCTAGGCCTGTTTTTATTTTTATTCTTTTTTTCGCCCGCCCGCTCCATTATTTTTCTAGAAAAATCCGTTAACCAAGATATTAGATTGGTGTGGCCTAAGAGATCTCTAATGAAACAGATCCAGATATGCACACTTTAGATAATTATATGACTGTACATGTATGCAGGAGTGCGTTATACTGGGGGATGTTACAATGTACATTGGAGATCTCTTCAGATGCACTTTTTAAGTATGACTGATTTATGTGACCTGGCAGATAAATTGGTAAACTACATGTAACTACATGTGTTCTGTATAATATAATACATATAGTTACCTCCGGGTAGGGATGTATATCCCGAGCGCGGAGGTTTTGTGAGGGAAGACGAAAATTGCGTTCGCACCCGTTTCTCGCGTTTGGGTGGACGGATATGTCTGGGACTTGGTATACGTTTTGCTGTTGGGCTGTAGATGGTGCACGTTGTTTTGGTTTTTTAGTATGTGTGTTTTAGTGCGTCAAAATGATGCGTTTAGACCGCCGATGGACACCCCTTTCAGTGTGAAAGTGGACCTCAGCTTTTGACCTTTGCATGTATAAGGACGATTGAGGTCGCGACCACTGATCTGACCTTTCACACAGAGGGGTGTCTTTGTTTGAAACTGTTCAGATGTGAACCACATGTGCCGTCAATCAACGTCTCATTATCGTGCCTGGTGGGACCCGCTGGGGGGATACTTTAGTACGCGTTCACAGGACACGTAATCGGCACTTCCTGGTTAGCCAATGGGTCAGGGGTCAACGTACTGTTGCGCAACCTTTGTGTTGGTTGTTTTCGGCGTATATTACGACTTCTAACTTACAAATACCGCGGATTCAGACCTTTACTTCCCCAATTTATACGAAGAATCGGCGGAAAATGGAGGAAGTGACAATAAGGATGACTTGCACATGCGGGGAGGTACTTCAGCAGTTATTTTTAACGTCTGATTCCATTTAAATTTTAACGGCTCCGGTTGTCATTCTGAGTTTCATTACGAGTTCCTTGTGGCATAAGTTCGTGGCGGCCCGTTCGTGGGTACATGTTATAGGCTGCAGATGAAAATACTGACCTGTGTTAACACAACCAGGAAGGCTAAATCTAACACATAAAATTCAACACCATCAACTACATGTATATAACAAACAACATATAAAAGTATACAATAAAAAGCTCAGATTTTACTATTCGCACGCGCGCATCAGTTTTGGGGTTCCCAGAGGATGTCATCCATATAATCAAATCAACATGGCCTTACTTACATGTTAGAAGGGGACACGCGCACCGGACGATTGGCGGCTGGCGCCCGGAGCGGGTGTTTTTTTACATTATCGCTGGTCGCTGAGGGTCGGGCAGCCAGATTCGCCACGGGATGCCCCCTGTCCTTTCTATTTTTGGGCTCCAGTCGGCTAGGGGGATTAGTGATTTCACAGATCATTTAGCCAATTACAAACATTTCGAAACTTTTCTAAAAAATGGTATTCGCGCGAATTCACTAATTTAAAGAACAGTCCCAACATGCACCCAACATTCTGCAACACACATTTCAATACCCGGAGGTACAAAATCTACGATTTTCCTTGTTACATTTTGCTGTACTTCACATTTTGGTATAGGAAATCATATGGGAGTCATTGGACACAGAATATAAAACACTGCTGAGTGATAATTGTCCCGCCACTTATGCTGCACACTCAATTACATGTATATACCATAAGGCCACACCAATTTAATTTCTTGGTTAACGGATTTTTCTAGAAAAATAATGGAGCGGGCGGGCGAAAAAAAATTTAAAAGGCCTAGGCATCCTATTTCTGCCAAATTCTGGCCAAAGTGGTACGATAGGAGCCATGAAGTCAACACACCATACTGGTTCAAAATTTAAACAAATTTTGAACTTTTAATGATACCACTGCATTGAAAGACTGAATAACTGTAACAAGTAGCAAGAGGACTGTTTTCCACTGTTCAGGGCAAAATATTATGAGCATTTTGCAGTTGATTCTCAATTATTTTTAATTTGCAAATCAGAAAAAATGAAGCGGGCGAATCCGTTAACCAAGACATTAAAATGGTGTGGCCTAAAGTTTTGAAGATAACAAGGCAATGATAAACAAAAAATGGAAGAAAAGAAAGAAAAACTTTTATACCTTGCCGCAAGAACTGATGGATTGTGATCTATATGGCCAAATTATTTTATTTTATTTGCTGAGATTTTTTCTGTCCTGTTTCAGCTGTCCCATGTCCAACCTTGTCAGCTCCAGCCAATGGTGCCCTCAGTCCTAGCGGCCCTCATGTCTACCAGGACGTGGTCACCTTCACCTGTTCTACAGGATATGTCGTAACAGGTGTTTCTACTGTCACCTGCCAAGCTGACGGCACCTGGAGCAGGACTGTTCCTACTTGCAACAGTGAGATAATCTTCACCATAGTATTCGCTTGACGAACTGTTCAAAATTTATGAATCTAAATGCAATTTTGAGCTTTATTTCGGGAGCAGTGAATCCAGATATAAGCTTTACAGTATACATCTGCATGTACCAAAAGAGAGCTGTGGTCAGACTAGCACTAATTTACATACATACATACATACATACATACATACATACAAGCATACATGAACTTTATTGCTCAACAATCGTACAAGGTACAATGTATGGCAGTAATACAACAATACTACAAAACTTTACTTACTACAAACTACTATCTAAACAGTATTTGAGTTACCATATGGCCATGTATTGATGATATGTTCTCGCTTATGGAATAAACATGAAGCATAAAGAACATAGCAACATATCTAGACAGACAAGTATGCCATTTGTAGGCTCTGGTGCATCAGGTTTGTAACTGCAGAAAAAGCACACAGTATGCACACAGTCTCATGTTGCATGGAACTGATTCTTTCAAACAGATTATTTTACGAGCTACTGGCCAAAGACTTCAAAAGTGTTCATGTACCAAGCTGCAGTCCATAAATTGCTGAATCATGGTATCAAATTACTTAAAACTTTTCGCAATCTAATCCATGCTGTTCAGTGCTTCCTGGCGCTAAGAATAATAATAGTAATTAATTTCTTTTTTTCTGTCAGCTTGTCGCAATCAGTTCAACTTTCCAAGGAACAACTTTGACATCTACGAAAACCGTTGCCACTGGTTCTCACATAGAAGGGTCAAGAGAACGTACGCGCAAGCTGAGCGATTTTGTGCGGACCGAGGAGGGAGACTGGTAACAATCAAGACCTCCAATAAGCAAGATTTTCTTGCAGGATTCAAGGACTTGAAAGTGAAACGTGCGAGAAGAAGGTATGCCTGTCACTTTGGTAGCTTTCATTGTTTGCTCCACACAGAGGATTTTCACTGAAGCAAATCCCCCTTTCTTCCTCCATACACCACCTCTTAGGAGGAAGTTCCACGCTGAAAGCTTCTTTCCTAGAACACCATCACTATGGAACAAGCTACCACATGATTGTTTCCCAGATGGGTACAACCTTAAACCTTTCAAGTCTAAGGTCAACAAACATCTGTCCTCACTGTCTGTACAGTAACCCAAAACATTTGAGTGGCTCCATCTTGTTTTGTGGTGAATATAAGTTAATAAAAAAAATGCCATGATGTTTTTTATTATGATCATTCAAGTAGCCACTGCTGAAGTCATACCATGACTTTTTAAACCTTTATTTCTTTTGATATGAAAGTTTTTCATTTCTTTATTAAACATTACCATTTACAAAATGGAGGAGACAAAACAGGTTGTTACCTGTACTAGTTGTCTTCCCCTACTACATGCAAAATGCATAAGTAGCAATGAATGACATTTGACTGTACATTTTGCATAATAATATATTATCTTTGTCAGGGTGTTTGACCCCAAGCAATCCCAATTATCAATGTTCGCTACGAACCTTATTGCCTCCGGGGAAGGAGACATCCTTCCGCAGAAGGGTTTTGTGAGAGATTTAGATTGTCATATTCGCAGCTGTTTCTCGTGTTTGGGTGGACGGATTCTTTTGAGACTCGGTATATGTTTTGCTGTTGGGCTGTAGATGATGCACGTTCTTTTGTTTTTATTGCATATGTGTTTTCGGGCGTGAAAATGGTGCCTTTTGGTGGCCCCAGAATACCCCTTTGAGCGTGAAAGTGGTCGCGACCGTTGACCTTTAGGCGTGTATTAGGTATTGCCGGTCTCGTCCACGAAGCTGACCCCTTGCACAGAGGGGTGTCCGGTCTCGATAAATTCTTTGTTTAAAACCCTAGTCCTGCGGCGCCGGAGGTATAAAATCTCAGATTTTACTTGTTTCATACTATTAGTAACTTTTGGATCGGCCTGGACGACTTGCGGAGAGAAAACATCATGGAATGGAGCGATGGGACAACTTTGAGCAACGGCAACTACAACAACTGGAAATTTCCACCCAGACGTCACAAGAAACGCGACTGTGCAGCAATACATCGCTCAAACCTTCAATGGGTTTTGGTCAACTGCAGGATGAAGTTTCCATTCATCTGTGAGATGGGTGAGCGATTTTTAAAATATTTACATGTGATTTTAAAAAGCTTTTGGGAATTCAGGTTTGTATCAAACACCATGTAGGAGTACATGTTGCCTTTGACTGTGGGTGAGTGCTTTCCTGAATTACAGTTACTGTAACTATAATAATAGCGACTGTAACTATAATTCAGGCGACATGTATATCCTGGATAAATAAATAAACAAATAAACAAAATAATAAAGAATCATACTGCACTGCGTTACACTTTACGTTTGACACAAAACATGCAATCCAATACATCTTAGCATCTTTTTTTTCATCTTTATAATACTCCTAAACCTGTTTCCCTAATTCATGTTTTACATTTCATCATCCAGTCTTTTTTGTCTTCATCTTGGCTACTTTTGTGCCGCTTTGATGAATGAACTGTTGCTTAGGCCACACCAATTTAATTTCATGGTTAACGGATTTTTCTAGAGGAATATTGGAGCGGGCGGGCGAAAAAAAATAAAAATAAAAACAGGCCTAGGTATCATAATATGGCCCACGATAGGAGCCATGAAGTCAACATACCAGGCTGTTTCAAAATTTGAACAATGAATTTTGAACTTTCAATGATACCACTGCATTGAAAGATGGAATAACTGTAACAATTAGGAAGAAAAGGACTGTTTTCAACTGTTCAGGGCAAAATATGAGCATTTTGAAGTTGATTCTGAAATTTTATTTTTATTTGCAAATCAGAAAAAATAAAGCAGGCGAATCCGTTAACCAAGAAATTAAATTGGTGTGGCCTTACTTTATACACACAATAGATAGCCCAACTGTAAAACATTTTATTATTGATTTATTTTGTTTTATTCAGATGACACCATGATCTGAAGGCTTGGCTGGACAGCCAAAAGTCACATGGAAAAAAAAACAGTGCAGGACTTTATGGTTAACAAGGTCTTATCAACCTTGTTAATCTTTTTATCTTCTTTTTCTTTGCTTTAATGCATAGTATCATTTGAATATAGTACATACCATATCCTTAACTTGATTAACGGAGCATGTACCTAAACCCATTTGGTGGTATATGTGATATCATTTTGTGTAATTTACCAGATATTTAGGTCTTAGTCTCTTAATAAGCACATACTTTAAGTTTTTTTCTTCTTCTGTCAAACTAGCATTACTGTGTATAACAGTGCTTCAGTCGAAGTGTAAGATGTTTGGTAGCTCATAGTGTAATGCAAATTTGCTATGGCTTGCATTTCACAGCCAAGCACACCCAGTCATCCTACTCTTTCCAATAAGTGTGTTGGGTTCTTTCATGTTAGGTTAGTCATTATCATATACTAGTAATACTCAATCATGTAGTGTTCAAATACACTTGACTGGTAGCTATAGCAACATATGGTGACTTTACAGAATCTAACGGGCTTTCAACATAAGACTCTTAAGAGTACTGTGTGCATAAAATGGTCATTATATATGGAATTTTAGGCATCGTCATGTAGACACTTAGTTTGTCGCCAGCTTTTTTTTATTAGGCCATGTTGATTTGATTATATGGATGACATCCTCCGGGAGCCCCAAAACTGATGCGCGCGTGCGAATAAAAAAAACGTTTTGCAAAAATAAAAAAAGTTTTATTTCATTATGAAATCTACGTGGTCATGAGGGTTGAGCAAATGGCACAGAATATGGTTTGGCGAATAATCTAGTCTTCAAGTTCATTTCTTTACAATTTCGTCTTTTTTCGTTTGATTTTGGCATTCTACGACATTGGTATAGTTTTTATTATTTTTTTTTGTAACTTGTGGTATCTTTTTGCTCATTTTGCAACTGTTTTGTACGATTTACAGTATGGTTGAAAACTTTTTTTTGGAAACGGCCGAAAATTCATGCGCGCGTGGATGTCATCCATATAAATCAACATGGCCTTATTATTATTTTTAAATCCAATTTTAACGTCATTTTTCTCCAAACCGGGGGTTAGACGTGCTTGCACCAAGTGCAAATCTTTTTTAAGCAAGATATTCGTAGAAAAACATAACTGAAGCAGCAATGAATTATTTAAAAAAGACAGAAACTGTGGAATCATCATAGAAGTATAATATTTTCCTCACTACATACCATATCATTATACACCTACATACCACCATAAGTGAAAGTTGTTGTATTTCAGTATCGGAATAACGTATTATAATTGGAGAAAATATTATTGCGGCTAAAGAGAGATTTCAGGAGAGATCACTACTTTAAAAACTTTAAACTTAACTTTAAAAAGTGTCATAAGGCTCACTAAACTTACTTTTGCATCATGTGGCTTTCTTGAGGTGAAGTTGCTGAGGTGAATAATAAAGGGTTATAAAAGAGGTAAAACATGCTGTAATGTTTTTTTGATTGCTGGTATTTACTTGATTACATGAGAAACTGTCTACACAGAACACACACACACTCCTAATCTTGCCGAGGTGTATAAAATTAGGGCTCTTTCAGGCTTAGTAGTGACTTTCCATATACAGTCAAATTTGGTCCAGCGACCACGTCCATAAACCGACCATCGGTTCAAGACGACCAGTTTTTGCCGGTCCCGATTTTCCCCCATAGGCCACATTCAAGCATTAAGAATTTTGCCCAAGAAGACCACTTGTCTTCTGTGACCGCGACCACCCCAATTTGGTCCGCAAACGACCCAACTTTGCATAAAACGACCGCATCATTTTCGGCATTCCGGTCCCGCCGGCTTGTCAACACTGAAATCACGCTAAGAACCACGGCCGTAACGCAACCCACATCGGGCTACACGGCTGTTATAATTAACCTTGTGATAATTTTCCGGCCGCTGCATTATAAAAATGTAACCAATGTACATGTACATGCATTGATTTTATATTAGGGCACAGGATTCTATCAACAGCAGATTAAAGGAAGTATCTGCAGTACCACTTACGACCGTTTGATGGCATATACCGCACCACTAAAGCTAAGGTCCCAATTGGGAAAAGGGGCCCTGGCGGGTAGTTCCCGGGCTGTTTTTTACCACTTTCGGGCGGGACCCCGACGTGGCCCCGCGGGGCACCCTGCGGCTACCGGGCTATTTTTTGGCCCGTCGGGGCCCCGATAAGAATTTAATTCTGAGTTAAATTCTACCCGGGCCCCGCTGACAAAAAGACGCCGTGACCTCATCGTGAGAACACCGAGAGGTACCCCTCCGCTTGCCGGCATTCCACCGGGACACATTTCTTACGTCATAGACCAGATGAACAGAATAAAGGTGTGTACGTCGTAAACCCGGGTAAAATGTGTGACCTCACAGATCAAATGATCACAACAAATACGTGAATTCTGCATTACGTATAGGTCAATACAAGACGTCGTCAGAGAATCTGCTGGGTACCTGCCGGGTGCCTGCCGGAGACCGACCAAATTTTTAACAAAATGTTACTGAAGGAAACTTTTAATTGTGACCACAACAGCCGATGCCCGCTCGACTCCTGAACCCGGCCGGGGCCAGCCGGGGCTACATCCCCGACGGGCACCGGCGTAATTGGGACCTTAGCTTTAATCGTAATCTTGTGCATGGGAAGCGGGACTTACGACATAACCGATACGTAATAGTTTCAAAGTCGGGGTCTTTTCATGTCAAACATAATAAAACTGTGTGATTTGAGACAACATAACTAGCAGTAGGTCTGTTTTACAATCACAAATAGTATATTTTTTATCATATCAGATGACTATTTAAAATGCAAGAACAATCAAAGTTATTTTGTTGGCGAAAACGTACGTAAACTAGAAAGGTAACATTTGCAAAGCAAATGCATAATGTTTACCTTCCAATATAGTCTGCTCTGTTGATTCTTATTCAAAGACATTCATATGTATGGTCAGACAGGAGTCTTAATCCCCCCTGCTATGAAATTGCAACATGATGTAACCCAACACTAGTTACCATGGTGATAGACGTCAACAAATCTGGTCATTGGCCAGGTCAGATAGAAGTTAGTGAATGGAAGAAGAAGAGGAGACGTGGCAAAAAACATGTTTTCCTTCGGTTAACATAATAAATTCATTTCTCCGCTCATGCACTCCTTTCCCCAGACGACCCTGGAAAGACCGTGGGCATCATTGTGGGCGTGGTCGTGCTGGCCTGCGTCATCGCCGCCATCAGCGCATGCGTCGTTCGGCGCATGCGTAGTCGGAGAAAAGGGTTTGACATGACAGCTCCGTCGTACAACATGGGCCACGCCAAACCGCGCCCGGCCGTCGCCATGGAGACGGGAAATTTGAAGTGATTAAACGTTCTGACCAATCACCATCCATCCTCAGGGTCGGCATAGCAAAGGACATAACTAAACTAACCGTAGGGTTGGCGAATTCTACCTTCGCAAGTCGGGACCTCAGGATATCACTTACTAGTAATCAACCAATGTACCCATCCATCCTCTAATTAATTAATCAATATATCGATCAGTTTATTACTGAATCGCCATTCTGTTAATATCATCGATAGGGATAGAATAATGGCAATATCTAGCAATGTATGTACTAGTCCCTACCTTCAAGAAAAACATATCATACGTCATGTAACGTTCACTTTTAATACAATGTACGTTCACTTTTAATACATGTACCTTTTTTACGAAGTTAAGTTTCTAGTTATTTAACATATATGTAGAATCCAGTCAAACAAGTGTTAAAATGAGTCATCTTCTTAGGCAGAATATCTTTTTTTTTACCTTTTATCAAATATCAGAAATCTGTACCATTTCAATGTTAATCAAGATTCAATGTTTATGTACTGTTAACGTGGTCTAGCTCTTCATGAATTCATGTAATAAACCGCTCAAATATGAAATGCTTTTCTCCTAACCTACACATTTTTGAAAGTTGTTGATTGTGTGATTGCGTGATAGTCAAACTGCCAGTACAGGGTGCACCTAATTAAATCATCAGATCAGAACCCACGGGCCCTTTTACAGGATGTTTTAATATGTGTACTTCAAAGCATTGATTGACAGCTATAAAAATTAGTCTATAATGCGACGTTTGGAATGAAGATTAAAATGCTATACCCATAAAGCACGTGTTCATGCACAGAGAACAGCTACAACTAGAGTTCGTAGGGCTCATGCCTTCGACTGTGTGATATTGTTTTGGTGGGTGTTTTTGGTTGTATATGGTAGTTTTTTTGTGTAGATGCTTATTGTTGTTATTGATGGTATTTAAAAGTTAATACCGTGATAAATAGCACTGGGACTGCAGGACCGAAACATAAATGGGACCGGGACTGCAGGACTGAAGCATAAATAGCACCGGGACTGCAGGACTGAAGCAGAAATAGCACCGGGACTGCAGGACTGAAGCATAAATAGCACCGGGACTGCAGGACTGAAGCATAAATAGCACCAGGACTGCAGGGCTGAAACATAAATAGCACCGGGACTGCAGGACTGAAGCATAAATAGCACCGGGACTGCAGGACTGAAGCATAAATGGGACCGGGACTGCAGGACTGAAGCATAAATAGCACCGGGACTGCAGGACTGAAGCATAAATAGCACCGGGACTGCAGGACTGAAGCATAAATGGCACCGGGACTGCAGGACTGAAGCATAAATAGCACCGGGACTGCAGGACTGAAGCATAAGTAGCACCGGGACTGCAGGACTGAAGCATAAATGGGACCGGGACTGCAGGACAATGCCCATCACTAAGACAACCTGCCTGCCAAAAATCGTGAACCTCGGACCATGCCTTCAAAATTTATTGTGCATAATATGCCAAACAGTGCCAAAACGATTTTATAGCCTTCTTGTCGAAGGCAACAACAACAACAAAAAAAACATTTTGCGTTCAGACTAATCATAGTATTCTATAATGCGGCGTTTGAAATGAAGTACCTTAAAACGCTATACGCATAAAGCACGTGTTCATGCATAGAGAACAGCTACAACAAAAAAAACATTTTGCGTCCAGACTAATCATAGTGTTACTTGTCATATTTACCAGTTTTTACTGTTAACGATTGCACAGTCGTTGCTTGCCGGTACGGTATGCGAGTGTTTGGACAGGCAAAGCCCGGCCGTACCGCCCCCACGGGGCCCGGCAACGGGCAAACCGGCGAGCCCCCGTACCAACCCACTTTTGTCCACCAGGATAGCACAAGCGACGATGAAGACCACGTGCATGAGAACAACCCAGACATACATGTGGCGTCCTCACACAAGGGAAAGGCGTATGATCATGATGAGACCGCATCACGCCCTGAAGGAGTATGTGGTGCAGGAGATGCAAACTTACATGACAAGGCAGCGAACAAAAGCACAGGTAACGACTTTTCTTGATTTTTCATGTAGTACAGATAGGGGAAGCCAATTAATTGCACAACGCTTGTTTCACTCCATTGTTAGTGAGATCGGCTTTCCGCACCGTGCAGTAAGCCTATCGCCGGCTAAATGCACCAAAATTTACCGAACATTGTCAACAACTGAACTGTAAACATGCACTAAAAATCGGCATACGCGGTAAAAACGGGCCGATAAACGCCCGTGTAAAGGAGAAATAGCGATGTTTTACATAAAATTGTCTGTTATGAGCGACAAAGAATGCGGTTTTTGTTTATAAACACGTTGATATCGAGCGTCCCGGCGGTCCCGGGGAACGTCGGCACCACAAAGGGAGGCCGGTCCGCTAAGAGCCATCAAAGGCCGTGCGAGGTGCGCTTTGATAGACAACTTGCTGGTCTCAATAAAAATGGGTCTCTCTCTACCTGTCTACTGTCTCACTGTCTCAGTTTTCTTGAATTTTTTAAGTCTTCGTCCGTGGCACACATGACGAAGTGTTCTATAGATAACGCTAGCCGTTGTTAGCGCTGCAATTTTCCCTTACGTAAAAAGAAAAATCGTGTTTGGAATTTTAAAAAAAAAACTCAGTCAAATCTTGCTGTCGTTTTTGACGGGATGCTGACGTGATCACAACGTCTGAGGTAGCAGAGCACAGTATTAGTGAGCGATCCCCGAGGTCTATGACGAGGGTATAGAAAAGAGTGCGTACAAACTTCTTGAAGACTTAGGTACCAGGTTTTGTGCTAGAGGCAGCCAGATGTCAAATGCAGTGTACATGTGAGGTACCGAACCATGTCGGCTGTCAGACTGTATGATTTGGATTGTGTACTTTTCCCGTTCGTGTATAAATACGCCAGATTACGCAACTGGCCTTCCGGGTGATTCGGCTGCAGTCTAATTGACCCCGGTAGAGGGCATGAGTATGGGCTCCCTAGCGGCTTGTTCTGGAACTGCAGGAGCATTTGTTGAAAAATTTTCGGAGGATAACTCAAGAACCGGTTGACGGATTGTCGTGATTTATGGTATGTAGGTAGCAGATGACAATTATGCAAACCAGGCGCTAGGAAGTTAAGTGAAGACGAACATCAATAAACATAATTTATTCAAATCATGACCTCATTTGCATAATTATGAGGAAGTGCTCTAATAGCCTTTTTGTTAAGATAAGGCTGTCATCGGGTGGAGAATATGATCAACTGATATAATCCATGCAAATGAGGCTCTTATTTGCAAAATCAATGATTAAAATTGTATAATTCGTCAACCGCAAGGGTTAACATCGTATGAGATCGTGGAACTCTAACTTGTTTTATGTTCGATGGCGGCGCTTATATAAGCGTAATTAACTTGAGTGCGTCGTCATCGCAGTCTTGTATTTTCTTTTATGTGCTTTAATAATAATAATAATAACAATAATAATAATAACAATAGTAATAATAATGATAATGATAATGATAATAACAATAGTAATAATAATAATAATAAAGTAAAACATATGTCATATGTGTATGCATGTATTTAGACTCCAGCCGTACTTTCTGCCGGTGCCACTACATCGCTACTACAGTTGCCATTGTCGCCATGGTCCTTGCACATGTCCTTGTGATCCTGTATGTGGACGCTCGGTTAAAAAGAATGGACGAGGTAAATAGTACCTGAGGACAAACTTGTGTTTTTGCCCGCCTTTCACAAATTTAGTTCAAGAACCATAATCATTTTGGCTTTGATAAGGTGTCCACATTGCACATAAGGAGTCTATTTATCTATGCAAATTCATGCAAATTATCGATGCAATATGTAAAAATAAAGCAGTGTAATATTTCTCTAACTGACGCCCAACTTAGTGAAAATTTCTACTGGTGGGAAGGCTAATTTTCTGAGACTCAGAAACCCATGTCATGTCCCGGGTACTGAGCTAAAAATGAGGAAGGTGGGCTACGTTTCTCATTTTGTAGGCCTCTTCTTCTGTGAATTTTCTTCTAGATGCTAGATTTAAAAGAGTGATTTTACGAAGATACACAGATATTCACCCATGACATATGATTAGTACATATTTCTATAACTTGCTGAAGTGATAAATAGCCACTAAATGCCAAACACAGTCAGTGACTAAAATAATAACCTTAGTAGTCTTCAGTGGTACAAAATCACAAAATCAGTAGCCAATCAATGGCTCACAGCTAGCGAATTTCTTAGCTCACTTTTAACATTTTTGTTTTAAACTATTTAGCGAGTGAACATCACCGTGGCAGTCACAGTGAGCAACGTCTTGGAGAAGCATCTTCACGAGATAAAGTCAGGCAAGTTGGGTGTATTTATATTTCCATCCACTTTGCATAATTTATGAGAAAATGTCATAATACCATAGTGCTGAATGAGGAGGATTTTACACTTGTGACACAAAGTCAGAAATCATGCAAATCAAATAATACACGAGAAAGTGCTAGAATTGCTGTCTGAAGATTATTTGTTGAAGGTATTAGATCGTGGAACTCTAGCTATTAATGTTGTCATACATTAATGTTATGTTACATAATGTTATGGTAGTTATTAATGTTATGCTATATAGCGAGGCAGATTCATCATTATGCTGACATTGGCCTCCTCAACCCAAAGAAGATACTGAACGTTCGTCTGTCTATGTTTGCTGCAGCTTTCCCTGTTGGACCACGCGGACCGAAGGGAACAGCTGGATCCCCTGGAAAGGATGGGTCACCTGGGTCTATCGGACCGGTGGGGCCTCCTGGGTCTATGGGGCCACTGGGGCCTCCTGGGAAGGCTGGGGCACCTGGGTCGATCGGGCCGGAGGGCTCTCCCGGGAAGACTGGGCCACCGGGGCAGAAGGGACTCGAGGGCTCTCCCGGGAAACCTGGGTCACCCGGGCAGATCGGGCCAGTGGGGCCTCCCGGCAAGAATGGGACACGTGGGCGGGCCGGGCCGAAAGGAACAGCTGGGTCCAAAGGAAAAGATGGGCCACCTGGAGCCGTGGGCTCTCCTGGGGAGGCCGGGCCACCTGGGCCAAAGGGTTCTCCTGGTTGGACAGGGCCACCTGGGCCAAAGGGTTCTCGTGGGGGGAGTGGGCCTCCTGGGCCAAAGGGCCCTCCTGGGTGGAGAGGGCAACCTGGGCCAAGGGGTTATCCTGGGCCTCCCGGGAAAACTGGCTCACGTTGGGGATCGGGATATAACATAGTACAGATCGCGGGATAAGCATCATCGGGATTCGGGATTTGCAGGATCTCCCGCGGGGGTTTGCGAGATATCACGCGGGAGATTGCGGGATATCACGCGGGAGATTGCGGTATAAACGTGTGGGAGTTTGCGGGATATCCTGCGGGAGTTTGCGGGATATCCTGCGGGAGTTTGCGGGATATCCTGCGGGAGTTTGCGGGATATCCCGCGGTATTCTTTCGGGACACCTATCGTGTCCCGCGTATCGCGTAGCGAAAAAAACTTGGAGCGAGACCCCCAAGTCTACCGCGGCTCCGAACGCCGATGTCGGCGTGCCAAATGTTGATTTTTACGTCCTGCCGGGCGAGCTGTGCCGGGCCGATGGAGTCTGACGCCAGTCAACTTAATCTTTGCTACAACTTTTATGGTGGTGAAGCACAGGAATGTACGAAAATAATATGTATAAGGTGTTCCTCACGCGGTCATAGTTATCTGCTACATTATTTTTACAAAGCTATTGTTCAGCGCAAACTTTAAGAAAGTACCGTGAATGAATACAATGTCGTGTAGTACTGTAAGTCTACAAATTTCCGCGGTATATTTAGATTCGCGGCATTCGCGGGGACCTTTGTACCGCGAATCTATTTCCCCGCGAATATGTTTTGCGTAAGTGCGCCCCCCTCCCCACATGCATTCACGACGGTAAGCGAAACACAAACACACGCGATTCACAAATCACTGCAAATCAACTTTATTCTTAGCAAATGTTGAGTACCAAAATTTTTTAAAGTCATACTGATGTCAAAAAATTATAATATTATGAGACACCGAATCGCGATACTGCGGCACTGGCCGTGTCAACCGTGTACCGCCGAAAAAAATCTATGCGTGCAGAGCGCCGGCCATGCGCGCCCGGGCGCTTGAAAATTGCGGGAACATCGGGCATATCTACAAGTATTTTTATGAAAAATATAACGGCTGGTACCTGGGAAATGTTAGTAATCACTTCGTCTCCGGTGAATTTTTGGGCAAGATTTTTACCAAGAAACTAAAAATTATGGGGCATACCGGCAGTAGTTTGTGGTTGTTGTGTTTCATGATCTTGTAGTTGTTGAGGTATTCTCATAGGTATTTAATCTCCTGATTTTGTATTTAACCTCCTTGGTTTTTATTAATACTCTTCGCAAACCGTAAGCAGCCTTCCCAAAAATCAACGTAATTCGTAATCAGTACATTAGCCACAAAGAGTAAAGTCGTAATCAGCTCTGAAACTTTAACTTTATAGCGCAAATTTTGCGCAATTCGTAATCACTACCCCATGCTGGCCCTCAACACTGCGTGGCGCACGAAAATGTATCAAAATTTGAGACGTAAAGACCCTTAATTATGCTTCGCCCCCTTGTTTTACACAATGTTTTAAGATCTCTTCCGTAACTCCGTACGTCACCCCCCCCCCTACATATCACGTCGATATGTTAGATTTTTTATTCGACAGAGTCTGAGCAAGGAGGTTAAATTTAACCTCCTTGGTCTGAGCTTGCGCGGGTCGGGTGACATCAAAAGCCGTCCACGTCGCAAGGTCGGACACAAAAATTATTCAAGAAGGTTGAATTACTTTGTTATCGTTCTGTACCTTACTAAGCCACCAGATTTCCGATATTGAAAAAAAAAAATTGTTTGGTTAAAAACACTATCTATTTGCTCTACTGTTATTTGCATGCATTGAAAACATACTAAAACATGCACGCATCGTCTGTCTGCGTAAAAATCTGTAGTCAACGTGGTTCAAGTAACAGCGGCGCCGGCCCCTCGGAAACCTAAGGTCTCACACCGAAGATCGGGGTTGCGGGAGAGGATTTGCGTACCGCGGGATATCCCGATAAATCCCGCAGGAGATCCCGCAAACTCCCGCAGGAGATCCCGCAAGCTCCCGCAGGAGATCCCTCAAACTCCCGCGTGATATCCCGCAAACTCCCGCGTGATATCCCGCAAACTTCCCGCGTGATATCCCGCAAACTTGATGAATGATGTTTATCCCGAGATCTGTACTGTATTGGGGTGGGAGGCATGGAGGCTGAGTGACAAAACAGCAAGTAACATTCCATAAGTAAAGGACCACAGGCCCTTGCAAGGATGATATCGTAGTCATTATTAGCGAAATCTTTGACAAAATATTAAAAATGGTAACACTAATGGCAAAAGGCACCTTTCATAAATGGTTAGATGATAGGCATGATGTGTCTATCTCCTTATCTGTTCCATTATTCTTGCCAATGCATACAGCTGTGGTTCTAAAGAAAGCTGAATGGGGCAAAAGTTAAGATCTAAGATCAAGACTAGAAAGGTAATATTTGCAAGGAAATGCAATATGTATACCTCAGGATGGTCTTACCTACGATTTAACGTTATACCTTTATTTATAGGAAAGGATGGGTAGAAGGATATTTTGCTTATATTACTGACTTTTATGTACTGTTATTATAGAGTAACATTAACGTTATAACTGGGGAATTTGAATGTTTTTGCCAATGTAAGGCCAAGTTTAAAATCTACCGGTCTGCCACTCAAAGATCATTACCATGGACTAGTCTTGTAGTGCCATGTATAGGAGATACTAGTATATATTACACATTCAGCACACACTCTTACCATGTTTGCAATTAGGCCACAGCATGTAACTTTAATCAATGACATCCTCTGCAGACTGCAAGTAAACTTCAAGTCTTTTTGACAGCTTTAATTACAAACAACTTTGTTGAGCTCGTCTCACAACCTTATTACATTTTTGTAAATAGGAAACAGGACGTATGCTGAAATGATAATGATAATAAGTTTATTATTATTACAAATACATGACAGAAGGCTCATTGTAAGTACGTATATCATATACATATAATGAAATGACATACAATGATATGAAGAACCAATTCCTATAGTACACTTTAGTCTTTATACTACAGTACATAAGATATATATCAAGCCAGTTTTGTTGGGTTTTACTTTGTTCTTTTGATTGCCGAGCCAGTCAATTATACCCACTTCTATAATAAGTGTTCTTTGAACTTTTATATGAAAATCATTGCAATGATGATGAAAATCTACAGTTGTGTAAAATATTGGAACTACACACTCTATAAAACTATACATACATACTTAAAAAGCTATACATGACTTACATATATTATGCAACTTAACATACATAATGAATATTTACTGGCCAAATTGGAGATATAATGTGTTTCGAAATGGTAGTGATGTGCATGTATGTGCTGTATCCTTCTGTGGATGGCTGGGTTCAGCTCTGTTAGATTCCTCCCCAGTTTCTCACGGACCAAGTTCTGCTTCCTTTCTTAGCAGAGGATACAAATAAGGAGAGTAAGCGTTTCAAAAGTGAACAGAAACTGATAGTTATATTTCAGTCCATACCATGGTATGGATGAAATATATTGTGTTCCCTCATGTTTCTCCTCCTTCTCCTCCTCCTGCCACTCGTTCAGAGGGATTCACTCCACCATCATTCAGCCAAATGACCTGAAATTTGGCATGGAGGTAGAGTGGGCAAATACCCCCAGACGTTTTTTTTTTTCATTCTTTTGAAACATGCCTTTGAACAATTTTTATGAAGGTTTTTTGGGGCATTTTTCGACAAAAAATGGATTTTTGGATCCTGAACCAAATGATATGACATTCGGTATAAGGGTACCTTGAACGTGTGTCTACAGAATAGCAGTCATGTATTTGGCATACACCACTTCCAAATGACTCATTTGGGGGACTTTAATGGCTATTTTCAGCAAAGAAAGGGCCAAAAGTGCTGTACCCGTTCCATGTTCTATCTAAAGAATGGCCGGTTCCATCAATGGAACACGTGTTCCATTGCGGGTTGCCTGAGGTCACATTGCACCTAAGTGGTGTGTAATGACCCACACATTCAATTTTATGTGCCTAAGACCTTTAAAATGTATCAAATCTCATCGTTAGTTTTTGCATACCTGTAATAAGATTAGTACAGCTTTCGAGATTCAAAGTACTTGTTATTGCATCTTTGTTCTCATATAGCTACTATTTAATTCATTTATTTAAGAACCTTTGCCAGTTTTGCACTGGGGTAAGTTTGGAAGTCCACTTTTGCGTGGGAGGGAGATGGACTGAAATATGCTGTATTTGCTCCCAAGCAAATGTCGGCCTTTCTAGTAAGTCATTGAACCACAAAAGGAAAGCATAATACATATGTATACAAATGTATAACTATATCAGGCGGGGTCCAAGAGGGTATATAATATATGTCAAAATTTTACAGCAGACCAATTTGTTCATACAGAGAACACTGTTGTCTGTATGCAATGAAAGAATAACAACGCAAGCATAAGACTCAAGTTACAAATTTAGTGAAACCAGACGTTCACATATTTCTTCATATACATTGAATCCCCAACACTATTTCTTCTGTCAAATTCCTATAGGAAATTATCCTTATTATGAGAGATAACTTCATGGGATATGCATCATCGGGATGTGGAATTTTTCGGGATAGACGTCCCGATAAATCCCGCGAGATATCCGCGTGTCCTGCGTACCGCGGAGCGAAAAAAAAAACTTGATGCGAGATCTCAAAGTCTACTGCGGGTCCTGTCACCGATGGCGGCGTGCCAAAGGTTTTTACGTCCTGTCGGGCGATCTTGGCAGGGCCAATGGAGCACCCTGACGTCAGTCAACTTTGCCATAATTGTGTATATTGTGTATAACGCGTTCCTCACGCGGTCATAGTTGAACTGCTAAATTTTTACAAAGCTCTTGTGCAGCAAAAACTCACAAAACTGTAAGAAAATAGCAGGGATGAATTTGTAATAACCTCTTCGTCTCCAGTGAATTTTTACATATAAACAATCAATCTGTCAAGTTTATAAACCATCGAATAAAATGGGGCGTACCGGCTGGAGTTGTGTTTCATTGTGACATCTTGTACTAAATTGGCTTGTTGAAGTCTTCTTGTGTTCTCGTGAGCGTCAAGTAGTCTCTGTATTACGAAAATTAGGAAA